GGGGAGTAGACCTCCCTCTCTTCTCCCAGCGTTCTTGCTCTGCCACCTGGAGGTTCCTAGGGGCCCCTGGCCCCAATGGAGCCTCCTCAGTTCTGCAAAGCTTCACTCCCAGCCAATATGACAAAAGCAGATACATGTGCTTCCCTAGGAATTGCGTTACTTAACCAATTGTTGAAACTGGCCTCTTTAACCTAGTTAATCTCAGGCTCTTCCTTCCTGCTATCACGAGTGATGGCAGCTGCTGCTCTGGAAATGCCCAGTGTTTAGTAAGTCCAACCAATTCTCTTTTTGAGAGCCCTTTAATGTTGGTAATGCGGCAGGGGGCCAGGCTGAGAAAGTGGCTCACAGCTCTTCCCCTCCTATGGCCTTGAAGAGCAGAAGCTCCCTTCTTGGGAAAGGAGCCAGCTGCCCTGCAGGACACCCCCACCCCCAAATCCCATCCTTGACAAATTCACACTCCTTCCACTCAGCACTGCCAAGTTACCCACTTTGTAGGGAAGAGCTTTGCAGCAGCCACACCTTCCTCTTACATCCTTGGGTCTCTTTCCTTCAAAGTTGTGTCCCTGCACACCACCTTGGAAAGCCTGCTTTTTTGGGGCAACTTTCTGGTTTTGTGGGCAACTCCCAGAATTCCCTGGCCATCACATCTCTCACTGAGAATCTTGGGAACCTGGAGGCTTGACTAGATATGGCTTTTCCCACTTTTGAGTTGTATGATGTCCTTAAGAGTTGCAGAGCTGCTCCTCCCTCATCCCAGTAAACAGTGTGTGTGTGTGTGTGTTGGGGGACAGAATGGGACAGAGCATGGCGTCACCAAATTCCTGGTAAAAATTTGAGCACTTCACAGGGAAGCAGTTTAACATTTTGGAAGCAAACAAAATTAAATATGATCTGAATGAAAAATGGGAATTGGGCATTGTGAAAAAAGCCAAATTCAATAAACTTCAGGGGAGGTGTCCTGATCCATTTTATCCATGGATAATTAACTGTGATATCTTTCTAAAATGAGAATAATTGAAAACAGGGATTTAAAGTTGATTCATGGAGGCTTTCCTGAGATATTTATTATTGCAAGTCCAGAAAATCTGTCTGGGTTTTGTCACTAGGGATGACTAAACTTGGTATCCAGATGTTTATTTAAGTTGCTCCCACATAGCTCTAAAGCCTGTTAGCAGAAGGTTATCAGAGAACAGCTCTGCAAATCTTCTTTGACTAATATTCTCATTTCTTTTGTAACTTCGATGTTTTCTTTCATTAAAATTCTTAGCCCTTTGCCAGAAGGGGAAAAAAAATCTGCTAGGTCTGCAAAAGAATGACTGAAGACGTGACACATCATCAGGCCTTCAATCTGAAGAAAGCCAAGATTTTTCATCCCGTCATTGACCCTTGCAAAAATTGGTGTGGTGACAAACCGGAGGAATTAGAATAGGGGAAAAAAAAGACCAATAAGGGCTCAAAAAGTTTTTTCACAATTTAATGAGGAATTAATAAACTCCAGCATTGAGTTTATTTTAAACTCTAGCATTTTCCTTTATATAAAAAAAGCAAAACAAAATAATCTAAAGATATGTTTATCAACAATCTGCTATAAAACAAAGATAGGTGGTAGCTCAGGACTGTTAGAGATGGATAGACCAATTTCCCCCGAGAAACTGATTAGAGCTCAGGAAGGCCTCTGGACCAGTGTTTTGTAAACCTGTTAAAATGTGTGGACTGGGGAATTCTAAGAGTTGAAGTCCACACATCTTAAAGTCAAGTTTGAAAAACATTGTACAGGAGCAACAGGGAACAGCACAAGTAGAACAAAGTACATATTTGTGTTATGTTTATATGTGTGTAAGAGAGAACAGCCATTGTTGTCGTAAGTTGTACCTGTTCACTTGCAAAGAGAAGAGTGGATGTGTTTGGAAAACACTCAAGAAGACTGAGTGGAAAAGCCCCAGTCCCCTGCCCTATCTGGATCACCAGTACAATCAAGCCAGTCAGTGGGAAGGAAGAAAAAGAAACTGGAAAAGGGGCGTAAATTAGAGAGGCAGAATTGTTAAGCAAAACTCTAGAAAAGGACTGCAACTCTTCTACCCTTCAGGTTGATAAAAAACCAGTTATTTTAAATGCCAACCAGTGGCCCTGCAGCTCCCAGTTTAAGCAAATAAAGGGAGGGGACAGAGGAGCCCATTTGAATCCTCCATTGAGGCTGCACTCTTGTCTGGAAGACATTCATGTGGGCTTGAACTATGTTGCACTTAAGATTTTATTAGGGTCACCAGAGCTCCCCTCGTGATCAAACAAGACCTCTTTAAGTGCCTCAGTCACTCACTGAAATGCTACTAGGGCAAAAGTTGGATCTGAAACTCAGCTCCTCCTTTGGGAAAGCAGAGTATGAAAGCAACAGAAAACCCTCTGGAATGAACGCCTAGACAGCTGCGGCCTTTTCAGGCCAAGCTCTCCCACAGGATCTTGCAAACCAGCCTTCCCATCAGCCTTAGTGCTTCAAGGTTCCAGCTGTTCCTCCAGGGCCATTTGGGGAGGGGGGGGGACACACCCAGCAGTAGAGGCAACCACCCTAATGCAGGATGATCTTTTTTCTTCCTCCAGGAGATAACAAGAAGATCCATATAGTGCACAAAGGTCCCAAATTTTAATGTAAATTAGAAAGAATGTAGAAAACAACACTAATAAAAAAAATATATTGCAGCCTTGAACTGTGTTTGCTTTGGAGCAACCCTCACCAGAGAAGATTTCAAGGCAGCCAGATTTCTGCTGCACCTGCACTGCTGCTCTTTGATCCCAGTGCCTGGGAACCTGTGTGGCCAGGCATTGCTCTCCTTTCCTAATGCTTGTGATGAGCGACCATCAGGCTCCAGAGCTGTGCTGAGCACAAACCACAGCCAGGTTCCTCAATATTATGCAGCTTTAGGCAACACTGATGCTGCCCCCAGGCAAAGCACACTCCAGACAGCTCTGAGCATTGGGAACTTCTTCAGTGAGGCCTGTCTCTCATCTGCCAGCTCTATGGAATCAGTCCTCAGCTGAGCTGTCTCTCTCTTCATCCCTGACTTCTCTGTAGCCGATCATCATCTGCCCTTCTGGCTCACAGTGAACCATCTTAATTCCAAGCTTTTCAGCAAGCTTTTGGGCAGCAACCTTAGCTTGCATCTCCTACAACAAGAAAACCTGGCTTCAGACATTTGAATAAGTGCCAGGCAAAAAGCTAAATTAGGTTATTGCAAAGCAAGTACACTTAAGGTATGCAGGTCACTAGACTCCTTTCAAGAAAACATTGCAAAATGCAAAGGGAGGAAAAAGAAAGGAGGATTCACAATAGAGATGAGAATTTTGCCAGATAGCATCTGGATATCAAAGGAACATCAGAAAGAGAGACAGCTAGAAGGACAGATACATTACAGAGTAAATAAAGCCAGATGTTTCATCAAAGGCTTTATAGAGTCATGTTTGAAATGGAAGGTGTTCAGAGAAAGAATTATATTCTGAAGCATTTCTGGGGGAAAAGAGACAGTGATGCTTGGAGCATCACTTGTCTCTACAATATTTAACCAACCAAATGGTGCAATTATTTTCCACCTTCTGGTCAAAAATACCTCCCCCTCCCCCCGCCTTTCCCCAGCTTCCCTGGTCACTCGAGAGCGCCCAAGGGAGAGGAGCAGTGGCGGCGGAGGGCTGGGGTGGGGCGGACGGAGTCTCATTTCCCAGCCGCGGTCGGCAGGCCCTCCGTCCCTGGCCGGGCTGCGCTCCCCGTCCGCACCTGCCGGGCCTCCTCCTGCCGGGCCTGGAGGACCACCGACTCGGCCAGGGGCAGCAGCTGAACAGGCGCGTGGCGCAAGGGGGCAGCCGGGCGGCCGACGTGTCCTCTGGGCGCCGCTTCTCATTCTGGGGGGCTCCGCCGGGCTGCCTGCGGGAGAGAGCTGCTTAGCGGGGGGCCGAGAAGGACCCCGCAGGACTTGCGCCGGCCCCGCCATACTCACGCGCCGGCCCCGCGCCAGCCCTGCTCTGCCGCCAAGGAGAGGCCGGCCGGCGCCCCCGGGCGCCGCCGCTACTCAGCCGCCGCCGCTCGCGCTCCGCCACCGCCGCCCGCAACCTGGCCGCGCATTTGCGCACGCGCTTGCCGCCGTCGGGCAACCAGGAGACCCCCGCCCTGCAAGGCACGAGGGAGAGGCTGAGTCCGCGCGCAGCAGGCCGGCCCCCCCCCCCAGCCCTCACCGGTCGCCCAGAAGCCTTTCCTGCCGCAGAAGCATCTCCCGCAGCTCCGGCAGGCTCCACCCGCTCAGCGGGTTCGGCTCGGCTTCCCTATCCGGGCAACAAAGGACCGTCCACGGCGGGGCAACGCTCTTCCGCCGCCGGCTGGGCACCGCCATCTTTCCGGAAGCTGATAACGTCGGCCAGGCGGGCCAAAAGAACCGGGAGTGGCGGCGCGTTTCGCGGACCAGGTGGCCGGCAGAACCGCCTCTGCAGGGGCCCGTTGTGGGCTCTCCCGGGCAGGACGCGCTGTGGCCCCCTCAGATGGGGGAGCCTCTCGGGGGTCCCAGGCGGCCGCGGCGGGCACCGTAGAAGCGGCTCTACCCTGCGCCCAGCGCCGCCCCCTGGTCCCCGCCGGCAGCACCAGCTCGGGCGACGGCCGCGCTCCGCGGGTTGAGCTCCCCACGCGCGTCCCTGAGCGGCAGCCGACGTCCGGGGCCGGCCGAATGCGGATCGGCAGCCTGCAGAAACTGGAGCGAGGCCGTGGGCGCCCCGGGAGCCGACCTGGAGGCCATGCCCAAGAGGAGGAAGCGGCGCCCGGCGGGAGAGGAGCCCTGCCCGCGGTGGAGTCAGCTCCCGCCCGGGCGCCCCTCAGGGAGCCGCTTCAGCTCGGACGGATTCCCGGCCAGAGGGGAACAGTGAAGGGGACCGTTCAGAAGTAATTCCTCGTTTTTCTTGTTTTGGGGTGCCTGGCAACTCAAGATTTGTATGCAACTCGGAACAGATCATTGGCAGTTAGACAACTGTTAGTATATAGTATTTATTTCACCTTTGTATGCATATGAAACGAAATAATGTTATCTGATTAAAACTAGTAGATTCTTCCTGGAGCCGACAAACTGTAAAGCCATACAATCTTTTCATTAGCCATGAAAACAGTGTATTAAAAACGCACACACCACTCTGTGACCCTTAGGAAACACTGCACAGCTTCAGGGGTTCATTGGCTCAAGGAAGAATGCTATTCACCATTTTTAGTGACAGTCTGTTCATAAGTCCAAACTGTAAATTGAATGCTCTTAATCCAGGGACTGCTTGTACTCAGTCCAGGAGTCAGGCAGGTGGTACCATTTGCCTCTTGCCTGGGAGTGATTATCTTTGGAGTCAGTAAGTTCCACAAAGAATGACAACTTTATTCAGGTGTCTATACACAGGACATTCTTTTAAAAGACCTTAAGGGAGAAATGCTTAGAAAACTTGGGTTTATAAAACAATGCAGCCATTTAAACATCTGAATTGGAACTTTACAAGTAGAAATGTAAGAACTGGCATATACTGGCACGTAAGACCTGGGCAGTTTCCTGGATCCTGAAAGGCAGGTGTGGAAGGATCCCCTGAGCAAAGCGGCTCAGGAGCAGAGATTTCTCACCTGGAAATAAACTTGATGATGAATGTGCCCTTAACTCAGAAAGCTGGAGAGGCCAAACCTTTATGCACCCACACCCAGAGGAAGGCATGGTGCTCTTGCTGGACCATTGTGCCCTCTTCCTGCATAGGGTTGAGAAGCATCGTCAGCATGGCAGAGCCACAGGTGCACATCCACAGTACGTGGCAATCTCTCTTGAGCTGTAGCTGCCGCCAGAAGCAAAGTCACCTTAATGAATATTATTCCAAGAGAAGCATGAAGATCTGCCATCTTGGATGAAGTTTGGACCATGGATCCATTTCCCAGAATTCCCGGATGGAAGCCTCTTGTGCAGCTGTCTGAAGCGCAGAGCTGCCGCCTTCCCCCGAAGTAGCAGCTCTGCTGGCCTCCCAGTCCCCAGGATGGCCTCAGTGGTGGCCTGCACTGCTTGCTCCCCTCCGCCCATCGAGCTCGCTGGCTGGGTACGGCCTCACTCGCAGGGAGCTGCTGGGCCCAAAACACGGTGTTTGGAAGAATATTCCAGGACCCGCAAGAATGGGCGGTAGGTTCTGGCTGGCTTCAGCTCCTCAGGAGGCAGTCGGTTTCTGTTTTCAGGGCTGTTGGGACAGAAGCAACCCCACTGTGAGGTGAGACTTTTAGATTTCAACCACACAATTTACTGCACAAATATTAGGTTGCGGACCCTTGAACTCACAAGGAGGCAGGGTCACGAGGCTTAAAGCCTTTGTAAATTAACTTTGGCTCACTAGGAAAATTAAAGACAGGACAGCCTGGAAACAGCCCATGAAACCAGCCTTCTTGTGCGCAGAAATGCCTCACCTGCAGTCTCCTCTGGGTGGAAGCCGCCAGTTGGCACAATTGGCAGGCTGGAAAGGCAGGGCTGAGCCTGTGGCCAGGGCTTTGGCCCACTGCTGGTAGGAGGCCTCGTGACAAAATGCTTGCCAGGGACCCCAGCCTCACCCACGAAGGCACAGGGGAAGCCCCTCCAGCAACCGATGTGTCCCCTGTGGGATGCTCCCCAGCTCCCTCCAGAAGGCAAAGGAGCCCCTGTACGGCTCAAAGCTGCTACCTGGCAGGGAGGTCACATCCAACCCCAATGTCTCTGGTGTCCACCATAGGCCTGGATTGGGTCTCCTTCAGGTAATCCAAACGGTCCTGCAGTTCCTTGTTCTGAAAGACACACAATGCAGCCCACTGGTCTTTCCACCTTCCCTGCTCTGACAGCCAAGTCTTCCACGCCCCAAAGGAGAAAAATGTGGTCTTGCTGAAGGGGCAACACAGAACTTCACATTTTTCATTTTTCTAAAGCGTCATTTCCCAGATGTTCTTCCAAGGTGCAGGGAGGATATGCCATGAAAGTGCTCCCCCATTTCATCCTCACAACAACCCTGTGAGTTAAGCTAGATTGGAAGGGGGGGGCAGTGAGGGACCCAAGGGAGTTTCATGATGAACAAGAACTTGAACTCAGCCTGGCACTCGAGGACTCTACACCGTCTCCTGGCCAGTCTTAAAGAGGCTTTGAATGGGTGGTTTTTAATTGTGATCTAAGGATGGTCAGAGTTATGGATGAATGCAGATATCTGCTGAGGACCTTCAAAACCTTCAGAATTTTACAGGCACGAAGGAAGGTGGGCCCTGTCCAAGGAGGCTAGCAATCTAATATGACCCAGGAAAATCAAAGCAAGTCACCAGAATGAAAACCATGACTGAAAGAGTTGAAAGCAGCTGAAACGGACACAGCCCGAGAGATTTTACGCAGGAAAAGCTGAGGATCAATTGTAACCAGTAAGGATAATGTTCTGACAGTTAATCAAAACCTTACCTCTCCCTCTAGAAAAGAGATTTTCTCTAAAAGTTGTAATATAAAGATTTCCTTTTCTTTCAGCTTTCTCTTTTGTAGCGCTATCTATGGAAAAAGAACAAAAAAAACAGTAACTCCAGAAAATGTCACAGCATCATTCAGTTGACACACTGTGGAGACCTTGCAATCGAAGCTTCTCCACCATTCATTCTGTTATCATTAGAAGGTGACATGACAGGTCTTAAAAAACATTTTTTGCAGAATACAGTTGGGTAATGTTCGAATTGCAATTGAGGCACAAGTAAGTATTTAGCACCAGGAAACAGAATTTGCTTTAGGATTCCAAGAATGAATCCAAATATTTCCTTTTTTTAATTTAGAAGGGGTTTCCTCCCATCTTTCCAACAAAAGTGGCCAATAGGATCAAAACATTAAATTAAAATCATGGGATAAATCCTACAGCCAGAAATAGTTTTGATTATTTCAGAAGACCGACTCGTCATGACCCACTCATCATGACTCCTTCGCCTGCTGGAGGTCAGGCGAAGGAGTCTCCCTCGGACCCCAAAAGAGGGAAAGGGTGGGAGGGGCTGCTGATGCTCAAGAGCCCCTCCTTCCTGGGGAGGGGGTGAAGCAGACTCTTGCCCCCTGCCTTGATCTGTTGGAGGGTGTTTCCCTTGAGCCCATCTTGGCAATCTGGCAGGTTTCAAAAGTGGAGGATTTGATCTCCACAGCGCAGGAGTTCAGTGTTCATGTCCCCCCCCCCCGCCCTGCTAAACTAAGGGGACCTGTGGAGAAGGTCACCAACGCCCCCCCCCCACATACATCTTGACTTTCATGGAGAAAAAAGACAGGAAATCCATTTGAAAAATAAGGACTCCCCCATTGTCAAACTCCACCAGCAAGGCTGGGGAGATATGTCTCCTTGCCCTGAATAGAGTTTGCCTGGAGTTTTGGACACGTTTCAGCTTTCACTCCTCGCTTTTGCAAACGAAATTGCTGCCCATCCTCTGCGCTCCCAAGTTCTTTAGAAGAAAGTGCAAATGTCAGTGACAATACGTTGTGGCTTGTATCTCATAACCAATGCACAAGAGCACAGATTTATTGGGCATACAGACAAATGTGCCATCACTGAAAAGCTGGGAATTCAAACTGTCCTTACGAGTAATTGAGCTGACACACTGGCCTTCTGAGGAAATGCAGACTAAATGAGCCACACGGAGCAGGATCTTCTCCTCTTCAACTGCTCTGTTTCCTGCATTTCAATGGAACTGTTGCCACAGAACACCTTGGCAGAGGCCTCCCCAGCCATAAATGACACATATTCCCCACTATCGGCACTGGGAAGCAGGGGACAGGAGCCAGACCAGCGGGGAGCTGAGAGCAGAGTGTTCTGGTGGAAAAGAAAGGAAGAGCTGGGCGTATGCATGAGTGAGCAAGAGAGAGGGGTAGCAATTCTGGCTCCATCAGCCTGAAAGGAAATGCTTGTGCAGACACCCAACAAGACAGCAAATACACCAACCCCTTAAAAATAATGATCAGCTGGCAATTATTTTATCTCAATTAGAGTAATAGCAGCATGGAATAATAACTACTCTTTCCTTGTTTGTTCTTTAGTCAGCAAAGTCACTCTTTGTTGTTTTTAATAAACGTATTACACACACACACATACTCCTGCGGCAAAAAATGTTTTCAAAACAACAATTGCAAGTGGAAACAATTTATTAAAACTTCAATAACACGTTTTAAGCAACAGGACACTTTTGTAAAAAAAAAAGGAGTTCATTGAAATACAGAGTTGCCAAAAGAGCAGCAGAAGAGAAGTGTGGAAGCTGGGCCTGGCCCCAAACCTCTTCTTTGCAGACTAAATCTCCGGAAGCCAGGCTGAAAGACCCCACTTGGAGGGTCTTCTCCTCTGGCCCTTCCAGTTTGATGTCTGTAAGATGCTATTCCAGAGAAAAAGGCATCAGCCTTTTAGGTGGGGGAGGCTTCAGCGCCCAACCACCACCAATTTAGAGTGAAACAGCAAAGTCCAGAATCAATAGGCTTTTCTTTAAAAATAATTACAAAGTATTTATTAAAGCACACTTTCTTATAAACAAAATTGTACTACGTAATAATATTGCACAAGGTAGCATAAGATAAAAAGTAAACTGACCGAGTATCTGACCTTCAAGTGATTGTTCTGTGTCCCAGTTTTGCTCCCTGGGAATCTTCCACCACTAATGCAACAAGGGAGTGGGGGGGGGGAGTGGGGAAGTGGGGAAAGAGATAGGACAAATTGACAGTTGCTTCCTCCACATCTGCCATGGAAGCACAACCAGCAATTTTCTCTGTCTTGGTGGACACTTATGGTGATATCTGCTTCTCCCATCTGTTTTCATGGCAGTTTTCACTTCCTTGGGATTCATTCCATCGACTCAAAACGTTTTCCTTGGATATCCTTCTCTTTCACAGTAGCCAGAAAGTCCTGTTCTCCCTGGACTTTGCCCCTCCACCTGGACTCCCCACCAACTGTAGAGGCCAAGCAGGAGTCAGAAGAAGCCATTTTGGCTTTCATTGCAAAGGATGTCATTGTCCTGTCAAGACTGCTGGGCCTTCTGACTCGATATGGCTACACTATTACTAGCAATTCTCCAGAATCGCAGGCCAAGAAACGCCCTTTCAGCTTTCATTACTTCCAGTTTAAAGTTTACTGAGGGTGTCCTCCAGGTTCATCCATCCAGAGGACAACAAAAGCAGAATGCTATGTAAGAGGAATGTGGACTGGAGAAGGACTTATCTGATAAGGAGAACCAGGAACAGCTTGGACCTCTACATGTTTATTAACACAAGTCACCTATTAATACAAATGTCACCAGCACAAAAGGAATCGTTTTACTTCTGGAGCCAACTGCATTTCGGTCTGCGCAGAATCTCTGCCTAATCCAAGCCGAGTGGAATTCCACCCGAGAATCTCAGGAGACTCTCAGTGCTGCCACTGGGGGGTGGGCGGGACACAGCTTGACTCTCTCTCACATTTTTTGACAATGTTTATGACTGTCATTGCAAAAGATGCCTTTAGGTGATGAAATACTTCAAGCCCTCTTTACCGCTTTTCCTTCTGTGCTCAGTCTCGACTTAAGTCTTGGCTCAGGTTTCGCAATGGGAATGACATGAAAATATCACAAGTTCTTGAAGTCTGGTGATTGCACCTCTGGTGTGTGTGTGTTCATTCCCAGTCATGCTTTACCTTTTGGCATCCATAATAAGCAGATGAAGAGACCCCCCTTTCAGCTCCATCCAAAAGGGGAATGCCGAGACAGGATTCTCCTGGGTTGCCTTCTTTCCATTCAGCGTTCATTGTAAAGGCAAGCCCTCATGCTGGGCTCACAATGTTTATGGCCAAGAGATTTCAGGGTTTCTTCTTTTGGACAGGTTCTAGCTGGATTGTCCATCAGGACTGCCATCATACCACATTGGACTTTTCCAGGTGAGCTACAATATCACAATCCAGTTTGGAGAATATTTTTTGGCACCAGAGTCATTTTTCTCCATGGTATGTAAAGGATCCTGCCTCTTTTTGTCCTGGGTGACTCCCATCTATCATCGTCCAATGAATCTGAGACTAAATGTGGAGAAGAGCTCATGGGCCATAACCTAGAGACAGTGTGATGCAGTTGGTTAGGGGAAGGTCGCTCTAAAAGTGGACTCTGCAAACAGTTTTGTCAAATAAGGAACTTCTTTTCACACCTTCCTTCCAGGCTCATCCTGTCCTCCCAGCTCTTAATCAGCCTGAGGGGGAAAAGTCCACTACCTGAACAAGGAGCTGAATGTTAGTCCCTATAATTAGTCAACACCAACTTGAACCTTTTATTTTTTTTGCACATGGCAGCGGAGGCCAAAAGCAAAAAGGTTTTATAAAACCCAGCTGAAGGCCTAGGACTGGGGCGACAGCGCACACGCCCACAGAGAGGGCTCTGCGTTCTACCTGTGGCATGTGTGCCATAGATTCGCCACCACGGTACTAAACCCTGATCTGGATGTGCACATTCAAGACAGCTCTTCTAAAATTTCTTCTGGAAACTTACATGAAGTGTAAGAACTTCACCACAAAGCGGGAGAACCTGTTTTCCTTGGATGTTACTCTGCTCTTGGGATTTTTCCTTAGGAGCTCTAATCATCAGCCAGATCATTTGACTCTTTGTATAGGTGCATTACAGATTTTCCGCATGGTGCACAACTCACCTCCTCAACCATGTGCTTGACTTTCTTTTGCTGACACAGAACCATGTCGTCCAGGTGCCGGATTCGTTCTCGGAGACTGTCAGTTATTTCCTCCAACTTGAGAGACCTGATCAAGGAAATAACCCATTAAAAAAACCCCAATTATACTCTTTGGTACATTGCTTCCCCACAAGCTCGATGTATTTTTGCCTCACAGGAGAAAGTTTCCTTAGCTGTGTTGAGAAGTGGATCAGACAGGTGGGGAAGGCTGAAAGGGGGCTGAAGCCAAAGAGCTTCAGCCCTTCTTGTCCCCCTTTAAGTAAAAACGGGTCCCAGCTGGTTCTTTAAGGGGTTTCAAGAATTCTGGTCTGAGATTTTTTTTTTTCTCTGCTAAAGTTTCTCCATGATCCTGCGCTTTCTGCTTCCTGTTTTCCAGAACAGAGTCCAGCTTGCCATGGTCACTATCACCTCCCCAGGCCTGCTCGAACAGACCTTCCAGGATGGGAGCAGGACATCTAGACATATCCCTGTTCCAACTGAGCAGCCTCCCCAAGAGAACCTGAAGACCAAGTTCCCAACAGGTGATCTTACCTTGGTTGGCTGGACTGGTCATAAACACCTGCTCCTTGTAGTTGCATTTCATACTCTATTAATTGCTCTTGCAACTGATGGCGTTCCTGAGGAGATAAATACAGAGAGAAATGAGTACACTTTGCTTTAATCAATGACTGGGTGTCCCTCAGTAGCCACCATGCCAGTCAGGTAAGTGAGGGCATTGACTTTCCAAAGCAACACTCACTGCTGGGACTAAGGACAGTGCCGGGATACCTCTCCCGAAACATGTCTCGCATTTCACTTCTCTCTGTCAGTGATTTTATTGCAGCCTGTGAAGGTGGTGACTTTAATAAACCTGCTGTTAATTTATAGATTCCAAACAAAAGAGGGAACTTCCCCCGTAGCCTTAAAATCGCCTGTGAATCTTCTAGTGCAAGAATCTGCCCAGGGAAATCGTTGAGCGCCACCCTCTACAAGTCATTCCAACCAAGGCTTGATGAACTCCCCATCTCCAGCTCTCTGGAGCTGTATACTGGTCCTCAAGTAAAGAAATTAATCCTTTGGAACCCAATCTCAACAGGACTATCCTGCTCCAGCCAACCTCTCTCTATGGACTCAACCTATCAAGTAAGTGAAAGGAGCAGCACTGAAAAGGGTCCGAAGGCCTCCATGCCAGGAAAGAGGAAGATGCCTGGGAAAAAGTGCACTTTTACATTCTGAAGAGAGAGAAAGAGAATCTACTATAACCAGTTCAGCAGCCCTGTCTTTCCGGTGGCCTGGATTATATGGGCAGCAGGACTTGTTTTCCTAGGCAAATTGTGAGTTCCTAAGAGAAACCAGTCTGCTGACACATCATTCTGGTTTCTGAAAACTCATCATGCTCTTTGGCATCGCAATCTTTTGCAAACCTACATTGTCCATTCCTGCCACGGTTGGTGGACTTGGCAGATACTTGGAGGCTGAACCCCTTCCCCTCCTGCAGTAGCCCACAGAAAGGAAGGAAGACCAGCCTGGTCTCTCTGCCTTCCAGCTGCAAAAGGGATCTTTTCTCTGCAGGCCACCACCAGCCATTTGATCAAGGAGCAGACACAATAACCTCTCTAGAACAAATATTTGAATATATGGACTGCAGGAAAATGATAAAAAGGGCAGACCCTGGCCATCATGCTATGTAGGTGAAATATTGTGGACTGCAAAAATTTGGGGGATTTTAATTTTATTTTGCAAAGTGCGATGAGCGTGGAATAAATACAGACACCCATCCCGCTATATTGAGAAAGAGCCTTGAGTGATGCTCTTACATCTTCCATGCGCTGGATGAGTCGGTCCAGCTCTCCAATTCGCTGGTCTTTTTCCTGCAAACTTGTCTCTGTAACTCTCATCTCCTTATTGGCATCCTCAATGGCCGTAAGTAAACGATTCGTTTCCAGCTTCCAAGAGAGAAACACAGGAATCACATTCCCTTGGCTGGCGAGTCCAAGAGCCACCTGGCTTCTAACAAGGGGTTGCTCTCCCCTTTCCCCAAATCCTAAGAATGGCTTACAGCAATAAGAAGCCACCCATTCCTGGTCTTCCACAAACAAGTTCCCACGTCCCTCCTGGCAAAACCATAATTTATTCCCAATGATTTTACATCTGTTAAAATTCCCAGGGAAAAGAAGTGAATTCATACAGAATTATAGAAAAGACACCATATCTTACCGCCCAGTTGCCCAAATGCTTATTTGGAAACTATTAGTTTTCTCATTGCTGGGAAACCTGAGCTTCCTTCTTGGCTAAAGTCAGCTTAACTTGTAGCTGAGTTTAATGAGACTGACTTCCAGATAATATGCACAAAGCTACCGCATCAGCATATTCCTCAGTTTGCTTAGGGATCCCTATTCCTCACCGTCATATTTTAAGACAGGAAATTCTGAACTAAGTAAAATGTTTTCTATATGTATATCACTCTTCTGTACAACTGAAAATTGGATAAAAGCACAGATGTCCTTTACTCACTCCAACAAGCTACACCAGAAGAGACCCATTCAACTTGGTAATTTAGCAAACCGAATTTCTACTGTTAATTTTTGAAAACTCCTGTCCACAGACTGCAAAAGCCACCCCAGAAACTGACTCTTCAACCCTGATCTGCACTAACAGCAGCAGCCCTTCCAAAGGGAATGTCAGGGCATCCCACGTACAAGGAGGGTTTCTTTCTCGAGTTTATGTTTCTGTTCTTCTTCTTGAAGCTTTTCTTCATACTGACTGTATAGTTTCCTGGTCATCTCTCTCATGACTTCTGCATTTGCTTCTTGTGAGCTTTCTACCTATTTTAAAAAAATAGAAAAAAAGGTGGTGGGGGACTCTATTCAATGAAACAAATGCAAGAGAGAAATAGATGCTGCCTGTGGAAAATCAACTTTCTTTATGGCAGCCAAATGGATCTGAGTAAAAAAGAGGGCTAATAAGAAGTGCAAGACATCCAGGTGATCTCTGCAAGACTTCTGCCCCTCGCTTACACGCTGGGTGAACTTCAAGTAATAACACTAGCACGTGATCTTTTGTTTGTTATGTGGCTTCTGCTCCTCTTGCCTGCCTGGAGAGCAGGAGGGAGGCGCAGGGCGAGAAGGAAATTGGCAGACGCCTTCAAGCAAAATCTGCTAGTTGCCAATTGAAAACAGGGCAGCTCAGCACCTCCTATAGCAGCGGTTCTCAACCTGTGGGTCGCGACCCTTTTGGGGGTCGAACGACCCTTTCACAGGGGTCGCCTAAGACCATCGGGAAAACACATATTTCCGATGGTCTTAGGAACCGAGACACTGCTCCGCATCCGTCTCCGCACGGCCTCCTCCACCATTTGCACACAGAGAGAGAGAGAGGCACTTTCGCTTCCCTTCTCTCTCTCTCTCTCTCTCAGGCGGACTTACCTCCTGCAGGGCTCCTGATTGGCCCGAGTGCCCCACCCCCTGGGAGAAGCACGGCCAGGGCCTCGTGGCCTTGGAGCCGCCCGGGGAAGCCCTGGGATCCCTGCTGGGAGTGGCCCGCTGGAGGCTCCGCTGAGCGGGCCAGCCCTCCCGCAAGCCGCAGCCCAAGGAAGACCAGCCCCTGCGATCAGCCCCTGCGATCCCCAGCTAGCCCAACCATTGGACCCGCTGGCCAGGAAGACACGCCGGAGTCCAGGCTGCCGGGAAGGAAGAAGGAGATTCAGCAAAGGTAGGAGAGGAGAGCCGCCTCCTGGGGCCTAGCGCTGGCGGCGGCTTCCTTGACACCCTCTTCCTCCTCCCCTTCTTCCTCCTACTGCCCCTAAGGTGGCTCGGGTGGGCAGCCCCCACCGCAGCTCCATTGGATGGGCGGAGGGCGAGGCCAGACAGCGCGGAGTCCCAGTTGGGGCAGCGGCAGCGGTTTTCTCGCCCTTCTCCTCTCCTTCCTCCTGCTGCCCCCAAGGCGGCTCGGGCGGGTGCCGGGGCAAGAGGGGTGCCTGGGGGGAGGAGCAGCCGGGCTGGCAGAGGGGCTGGCGGGGGCAGCGGCCGGGCCGGGGGCGGCGGGGACCCCCAACGATGCAACAGTGGCCGCCGGCGCCGGAGCCATTGCCTCCCATCCTCCCCCTCCCCACCCGTTCAGCTGAGGATGCAGCGGAGGCCAGGCCAGGGGTAGTGGGGACCCCCGACGATGCTGCCATAAGAGAGAGAGGGAAGAGAGAGAAACAGAGGAAAAGAGAGAGAAAAGAGAGAAAGAGAAAGGGAGGAAACAGAAAGAGAGAGAAAAGAGAAACGGGGAGAGGAAAGAGGGATAGAGAGAGAAAGAAGAGAGTGGAAAGAGAAAGAGAAAGAGGAAAGAGAAAGGGAGAGGAAAGAGAGAAACAGGAAAGAGAAAGAGAGGAAAGAGAAACAGGAAAAGAGGAAAGAGAGAGAGAGAAAGAGAGAGAGAGAGGAAAGAGAGAGAAGAGAGAGAGGAAAGAGAGAGAGAAATGGCGCTTCTCCAACCAGGCTGGGCGGAGCGGCCTTCCTGCCCCCCCTCCCTGGCCAGCTGGATGGGGGGTTGGGGATCACCACAACATGAGGAACTGTATTAAAGGGTCGCGGCATTAGGAAGGTTGAGAACCACTGTCCTATAGGAAAACAGTTCACTAGGACAACTGGGGCAAGCTGAATGCAGATGCCTGTAATCCCAAATCACCTAAGTGGCACTGAAAGCAGGAATGTGGGCAAGTTTGGAGATTAAGTCTTGCCTGATCATCCCCCTTTGCTTCCGAGGCAAAAGTTTCCAGCCAGTCGATGGTTTTGGATGGCTATTCTGGGAGCTGTAATCCGTGGCAGGCATTCCCGCTGCTCACCTTGAGGCGGAGCAATTCATTTTGCACCTTAGCCGTTTCCAGTTGCTTCTGCTTTTCCTTCAGTGTTTCCATGGACTGTTCGTGAGTTTGTTTCAGGTTCTGTATCTGGTCACGTATAACGGTATTCTCCAAAGTAACATCAACTAAGGTTTTCTGGAAAAGTGTGCAATAAAATACAAAATTAATTCACAACTGCTTGAGGAAAATTAGGATGAATCCCTTTTTTTAAATGTACTTTTTTCAGCAAGAACTGCAAAGAACTAACTCTTCTAGGTTTCTTAAGAAGGAAAATTTGCAAAATACATGTTATATTAGAAGAGCGTAACAATTAATCTTCTGGCTTAAATTCATCCAGGATTTATTGATTTATTTAAGTCTATTATTGACTATCTAGCTCCAGGGTACTCTGGGTGGTGAATGACCCAAGAAACATCGTTAAGATTTGAAAAGTGACTGTGTGACTGGAGGGAAGTAGAGTAACAGAGTATATCAAAATTTGTTGGAAGCTGGGTGGTATGCAAACCGAATAAACATCCACCTTGCCTATTTTTTGTTTATTATGTTTGTATATTACCATACTAAAAAAATATACTCTCAGAGTTATGATCAATTCTGTCACATGTTTAAATACAGCACACTGACCTTGCAAATTTCCAAGTGTTAGAAAATAAAATCTATGAGTTAATTAAATTAATAAATCAACACCATGTCTTTGGATTAGTACTGCAAATAAAGCCTAGGAATTTTCAGCACAAAATTCTTTGATAAGCAAAGCCATTTATATAGAGCAAGGAAGCCAACTTATAGCATGCTGAATTTCAGATTCAAACCCTTCCCTCTCCCACCAGAGTTGCAGAAAAGCCCCTCCACTCCAAAGGCTGACCCAACAGGGTGGTGGAGGAGCTCTGGAGGGGTGGGCTTTATCAGCAACTTACCTGCAGTTCAATGGAGGCTGAGGTCAGCGAACTGCTCATTTCGCGGAAACTCTCCAGGGCTGCTGCATGGACCTGGATGTGGTTTTCCAGGGATGCCTGCTCAGCATGTGATACCTGCAGAAGTAATGCCAGGTCTGAGTCTGAGGGAGCAGGAATTGCACAGAGGCAACAGTTGGGCCTGCTTTGGAATTAACACCCTTATCCAATGACTTTTATTGTGAAGCCCATAAAAGAAAAGGTAAGCTTGGTACATTTGCCAGAGCACAAACTGCTGGCAGGGAAGTAAGGCTGGAAGCTGTCTTGGCAAAAAAAATGTGCCACCTTCCCCCTGGCAAGCTGCTGAATCCACATGTGCTCACTAACTCCCAAGGACCTTTCTGCTGCTGACCTTCCATGGCAGTCCACCAACATCTGGCAGGGATGAGCAGCAACTCCATAAAGCCAAACAAAATATTCCCTTTAAAGAGACATTGAAGAAAAGATTCAAGTATAAATCCTACCCAGGTGGACTTCAGGGAAAGATTTATGAAAAAGATTACACCAGTTCCTGCACTCCAATACGGAGATCTGAAACAGGTGGCTCCTTGGTGTTACAAAGAAAAGAAACGTGGCTCGGAGGTAAGAGAAGCAGAAATCTGCAAGCCAGACCAGGCAACACCAGGCTGCCAACCAGGGTATCAGCACATTGAGCCGCACATGCCATGATAGCCTGCCAATGCAAAAGCCATTGGAGTGTAAAGGATGCTGCAGCAAAGGCAATCCATGTTTTTCATAAACATGTATTACTAAATTGCTCTGTAAAACGCTTGATCACCCAAGAAGATGTGGATCTAGATCCTAGCACTGGAGGAGTCTCTTGTGAAAGGGATGTGAGAAAGGCCACCTCCGCTGGGAGGAGGAGGTTGCAGCTGGGGGCGGGAGGACTCCCAACCATGCTCAGAAAGCCCCAGTTTGGTAGGCAATGAAGCTGGAGCCTGAGCATCAGACCCCAACATGGACGGGCCGGAGGCCTAAAGGCAGCTCCAAAAGGGGAAAGGAAGAAGTTCAGGCCCAGCAGCACTCACCGCCAGCTCACTTGAGAGCTGCTGGATTTTGCGTTTCATTTCATCGTATTCGCCATACATTCTGTTTCTTACTCTTTCTAATGTTAATCTCACCTGGAACAGAAAGGTTACAATACATAAAATTGTTCTCCATGCTGGGTAAATGGTAATTTTCAGAGTCTAAATAATCAAATGTTTATAAAAGTAACAGGAAACCAAGCGATTTAAGAAAATCCTGCCTGTTCCTTTCTCATATCCAGGATCTGGGGCAGATATAATGTCTCTCACAGCTCAAAATGCGGTTCCGCAGCTAAGCCCAGGAGCCCCATCCCAGGGCTCCCCCTCCCCATTTGCAGAGCCAGATGACATCTCCACTCACATCCCGCTGCCTCAGAGAGGAGGGCAGCCTATGGCTGAGTAAGGGATGCTCCCCACCTGCCTTGTCCCACGTGGGGCTTTTGGCCTCCGTTCTGCTCCCGAGTCTGAGGGGGGAGACAGGAAGGATGCCTAGGGCCCCTCCACTTGTTGACGGAGGATGTTTGCTTAGGGAGGGGCCTGCTCTGCATCCAGCCCCTGAAGAGCTTCGGGGGTAGGTGGGGCACAAGGTAGCCCTGCTGCCCTTCAAGACCTGCCTGCAGTTGGCATAGACAGACCCAGGCAAAACCTAACGTGAGATAAGGCCCCTTCCTGCATTCCTCTCTACTTAATGACCAACACCCTGCAGATTCATGAGTGAGGTAGCCATGTCTACGGGGGCATCTGGTCAGTGATACATGCACCAGGCATCCAAATGCATGGGATACTTTGCAAAATGTAAAGATATGCAAATTATATTCCAGACAACAAGCTGACTTCATTTAACAATTTTGTTCAGACAGAAACCAGAACTGAATGCAGAGAGTAAATGGAAGTGAATTGTCCCCATCCTGCAACTGGAAGCAAAGCCGCCAGAGTGCTGGACCGAGAAGGAGAGAAACGTTTGCTTTGGGGACAGAAGGAAAGGATGGGGAAGGGAGCAGCCACCGATCAAAGTCCTTTCCTTCCTGAAGAACAATATATAAAAATGTGACTCACATCTCGTATGTATCTCATTTCTTCCTTCAGTTGGTGAGCTGACCATCCATAAACCACCATTTCTTTGTTATGGTTGTCATCAGACCGGTGCACTACACCATACACAACACCGTGCTTTAAGTCCCCGGCAGACAATCCGCCAGGTGTTTGGTAGAGTTGCTGTACGAGTATATTCAAAAGTTATAAATGTAAAGAAAAGGGAAAGTAACACATTATTGTATGAATTTTCTAACCTTCCTTCAATTTCATAAGAATCCTCAAGACAAAATCTTTTAAACATCAAGTAATATTACCAAAATGTGCTTTTTCTTAAAACTGCTCCGAAGGTCAATGGGTGGCGCAGCACTGACCTCAGTTCATCACCCTGCGCAGGTTTCTCCCTGAGACTGGACAGATCCTGGGCCACCCTGGCCCTGTCTTCAGAGCAGGGCAGAAGGTCTCCCAGGCGTTGCTGGAGGGCAGCAGGAGGAAGGGCTACTCCCTGGCTGCCTCCCTGGGCAGCAACTGGTGACCCTCTGGGGAAAAGAGAGTGGCTGGCCTAGATGGGCCTTCAGCCCAGTCTTCTTCCTATGTTCCTCTCTCAGCACCTTCTGTGCTTCCACAGAGGGAACTGCATCATCAGTAAAAACTAGTTGAACCAAGCTATGAACACACTGATAAGGCAGAAAAAAACCAAAAACAGTTCTAGACTACTAATTCAACTGCTACCTTTTAAAACTAATTTGTCTTCCTTAAGAAGGGAAAAATCTATACCTACTTTATTAAAATATTATTGCAAGCATTCATACAGAGAAGGGAGGAAGTGCCATGCAATTTAAAATGCTGACAGAAGCCAAGGCCGGTTCTGCTCCTCTGCCCTTCCAGAAGCTCTTGCAGGAGTTGCCTTTAATGCCTAGAGAGCATTTGACATCCAATTTTAATTCACTGTCTAAAACATCAACTTAACATAAGCTGCTCTGTTGCAATACGTAGGCATAGTCACCTGGTTGCCTAATGGCATTCAGACTTATCATGCAAAATACTTTTTGTTTAGACAAGGGATGGGGAGGAAGGCGTTTCCACATGAACTGGGTGGAGTGCCAGATGCAAAACTAGTTTTCATTTCCTGGATAAAATAGTTTTGTTTGTTTTCATATCCAACACTTGACTATAAGATTGTTCATAGCTAACAGCTCCTCTCCAGCACTAAGGAGTGAAGTGACTGGAACTGGGCATAGCCAGTTCAGAAGTATGTGCTCTTCTGAAAAATATGTACAGAATGGGAAGTTCTGGCACTGCTCAAAGTATCACATTCTTCCCCTCAAGATAGCCTGTCATAGTTCAGCAATGAGCTATCCTTACACAAAACTTTACTTTATCTGGAAACAAATTTAATTAAATCCAGAGACTCTAATTATCTGCAATCCAACACACAATTACCTGGGAGGAGCCCCTCTTGAACATGACGGTGTGTATTTCTGAGCAGTATTCATAGGATTCCTCTCTAATCTTCCTTCTCCATGCAAGGAGGTTGGGTTGTGTAACAGATTCCTCAAACCAAACAGCGCAAAAGCCATTTAAACTGCTTTCCCAGGGATCCCGTGGGGAACATCATCTGGGTCATCAGTGATATATTAATACTCTGGACTTCCTGCTTTTTAAAAGGTATTGAGGCTGGTAAGGTGATGGGGGTTTGGGGGTGCTCTGTGGCTGCCTCTGGAGGCAAATCAGTATATTTGTGAAGTTACATAACCTGGGCCTGGATGAATAAAACAATACAACAAATCTGGTACACTCTTTTGATGTAGGATTTGAGTTAATACAGCCATCCATCTCTGAATCCCTCTCACTGCAATGCTGTAAAATGTCAGGTTAATAGTATAAACTGTGCTACAGGTTTTTTAATAAAATCTAAGTCGCTACTTCAGTTAAGCCTGACTCCCTCCCCCCAAATGCTACATCTTAAGAGTAATATGCTTATTATTTCCAGTCATATTAAAAATAAACAGCGTTCCCAGGCAGGATCATCCTGTTTGCTGCAGTACAACAGGGGAGAGTTGCTCTTCAGGTCAACAGGAAGAAGCAAAACTTTTCTGCAGCCACTGGTGGACTCAAACTCCCTGCCAGGCGAGCAGCTGAAGGCCTCGGAGATGGAGCCCAGCAGGGGCCTCGCCACCCTTGCCCCACCCTTGCTCCAAGCCTCCCACCCGGCTTTCCCTTCCCACTACAGTGCAGCCACTCCCGTTTTTCCTGCGTGAAGGCAGATTAGCACATCAGGATCAGCCTCCAGGGTGATCTAACCAGATTTTCAGTAACCTTTGGCCCCTTTGGTTGTGCAATGCCTCAGTCATTTCAAGCAAAAAAAGGGGGATGGGGGTTCTTTGTTGGCCCAGCAAGCTCTGACATTTATGGCCGAGGTGGCTCCTCCAGGTGGATCTACAGAGCAGCCCTTCCACCCCCATCTCTCTGGCATCCCGCCTCTGACCAAGGCAACAAGAGATCAGTAAAGTCTGCTCAGGACCCAGGAAGTAGAGAAGCTCTTTGCTGGGCAATTTAGTGTTCTCACTGGAGCACCATCCCGGCCAGCAGGCATTGTCACTCAGAGGGCAGATTACAGCTGTGTTGCAAAAGGCTGGCACCAACTGAGCGCAGGGATGTTCATGTGACCTCACAAAGCCAAGGGTGTGGTGATAATAAAGCTGTTAGAAAATTCACATGACTCCGCTGGATGTTCCAGGTGGGGAAGAAGGGAACTCTGTCATTTTGGCCTGGCGCATGCGATGTGTGCACTGAAAGCTCTTCTTTGCACTAATGAGGCACCTATGCCCCCCCCCCGGGCTTCTGCAGGAGTCTACAAACCCTTTCCCTCACGGTCTTTCCCCAATTTAAGTTTCAGATATTATTATGGGCATTTTCTCCCCACAGTACAAACATCAATTAAGTCAGGAAAACCACGCAAGGGGAAGATAATGTCCAGTCAAAAGTATGATTCCGTACAAGGCCCAAACATCCCCGCCCCATCTCAACCAGCCCATCTCCCTATGGTGATAACCCCAAAGGGTCCCTCAAGTTGGGAAGGGGATATTTGCCCCTGAAATCATCTCCTAATCAGGTTATAATCTTGATTATGAACATTTTCAAAATTAAAATCCAGCAACAGCTTTTCCTTCAAAACCAAACCATCTCGCTTCCCCCCCCCCCTTTTTAAAACAAAATTAAGGTAATGAACAGCTTTGGCTGCATTTTTCCCCAAAGGATGAAGGAAATTTCCATGAAGTACACTACCCAAAGAAACCAAGAGTGTTTCTGTGGCACGATCTGCCCTCTTGGCAAAATGCGGGTCTCCGCTTGTTTTCAAATGGCTCATCTGTTGCCCAGGCTACCCGGGGGCTGCAAACCAGAGGGTGTCCTGTGAGTTACTGCAAAGGGGCGACAGGCAGCTGCATCTCACCAGCTCACCTTTGGGGTCTTTTCAGCAGTATCTGTTCCTTCCCAAGGAGGCCAGCTTTCTTCCCGGGGCAGAGTTAAGCGCAGCCGACAGATGTTTGCCTGGAGGACAGCAAAGATACCACTCACAACCCTCCTCTCTCTTTCCAAAGAGGAAGAAAACTTGCTCCCTTTAATTTGAGGCAGGTAAGCAGCCAAGGTGAAGGGCAGCTCAACTCAGAAATGACTACATGCTGTCGAAGGGCAGGGGACTTTCCAGAACTCACCTCATTCAGCTTGAACTTATTATGAAATGGTCTTATGGAATAAGTAACATGGGAAGTTTTACAAATAAAAAGAGAATGAAGCTGATGGCAGAAGCTCACCACTTCTGCAGCCGTTATACAGTGTCTTCCAAGGGAAAATAAACATACATTTGGGGCACCAGTCAAGGTTACAATATTTACTGATGACATAAGTAATGCACAAAAGAACCTAATATTTTTTTACTTGATGTGCTGGTTTTGGTGCACGAAACCTCCATCAACGTTCTGCCTTCAGTTCTACTAAAACTGAACGTCTGAGTTCAGTTAGGTTAGGGCAGGGGTAGGCAACCTTGGCTCTTTTATGACTCGTGGACTTCAACTGGCGCAGGAATTCTGGGAGTTGAAGTCCACGAGCAATAAAAGAGCCAAGGCTGCCTACCCCTGCGTTAGGGGAAAGGCGATAATAAGCGTCACCATCGCATCGCAGCCTTCCAAAGGAGGAGACAAGGCTCCCCCGGAGCGTGCAAAGAGTGCGCATCCTAGCCCCACGCAGCCCTCTTCTCGTGTCAGGAAGACGAGCTTCACACAGCCGGGCACGGACTCGGGCAAGGGCAGCAAGCCCGCCGCCGAGACCGGAATTGCAGACCCTCCCAAAGCCGCCACCTCTTTCGGCGCCCAGGCGCTCGTCCTTGGGCGACGGGCCCTCCAGGTCTGCCTCCAGAGCAGCGGGGCTTTTCTGCCCGCCCGGGGCCTCCTGGCCGGGAAAACGCCAACGCGTTTGCAAGCCCTGCGGGCGAAGGCAGGCGGCGGGCGGGCAAGCGGTCCGGGGGCTCCTGGCTTCCAGGGCCACTCGGGGAAAGGCAGGCAACGGGCGGGCCGGCCGGAGGCGCAGCGGAGAGAGCCGCAAAGCCTGGCTGGGGCGGCCGGTCTGGAAGAGCCTCCCCTCCCTCCTCCGCGAGGGGCCCCGGCCGCTTCTCCGTACAAGGAGGCCTCCCCGCCGGCGGCGACTCACCTTCCGACTGCTCTGCGGCTGCCTTGGCGTAGTGCGGGTCACCGTCAGCCCCGAGCTGTAGCGCAGCATCTCGCCCGCCGCCGCCTCTGCTTGCCCGCAGCCTCCGCCACCGCTGGGCGCGGCGCCTCCCCGGGCCAAGTGAGCCGCTCCGCCGCCCCGCGCGCCAGAGGAAGGGCCCTCGCCCCGCCCCGCCTCGCCCCGCCCAGGCTGGCCGGGGCCGCCGCGCCCTATTTGGCCCTTTGCGCTGTGGGCGCCGGACGGACTCGCTGTCTTCTCGGCCCCGGGTAAGGCGGCGGCGGCGGCGGCGGAGCGTACGGTCGCTCGCGGACGGCTCTGGGAAGGCGGCCCCAGACCTCTGCGCGGGCCCCGGGCCGCCCCAGCCTCGCCCCGGGAGGCTTTGGAGGGCGCCTCCCCTCAGCCAGCAAACCGTCCGGGCCCGACTCAGGGCAGCCTCCGCCGCTTCTCCGGCCCCGCAGAGACGCCGCCGGCGAGGCCGCCCTCCACCGAGAGCTGGCGAGGGCGGCCCCAGGCTGAGCCCCATCTTGGCCACGCAGGCCGGCCCAGCCTCGCCTGTTCGCCGTCGGGGGTCGGGTGGGAAAGCCTGCTGGCCGTTTTGCCCCAGCCCGGCCCCGCCCGCGGAGGAAGAGCCCGGGAGGGGAAAGCTCCATGGGCTGAGGAGAGGAGGGGGACCCGGGGCACTCTGGACTGGCCGTCGGGCGGCTCCAAAGCCAAATTTTTGCTCCGAGGGAAAAGTTTTACCATAATATAAAGGGAGATACTGAGTTTCTGTTTCCAAAATGCCCTCGCTAGAATCTAAACTGAGAGCAAACTGCACCCCTGATTAGCAGCGATGGTGTTCCCCAGATTGAGTAATTGAAGGTCTGCAAGGAAACAAGCTCAGAGACCTTCAGTCTAAATATAGATTTTATTCTCCCAGGATCAGATAAATTACAACAGGTTTCTGTACCATTTTCTGAGTCAAAGTCAGCATTTCCTCAAACAAAGGGTGGCTGAGGGGGAAAAAAACCTACCGGTGTCCTTTAGCAAAAGGCAACACAGGAATAACAGAGTTGCTGCATCAGGGTTAGAATTCGCCCTCAAGATGTCAGTTGAGCAATTAAGCCAGAATGGCACAAATGTGGCACAGTTACTAGTGTACAGCAACCTTAAGTGGCTGCCGGTCACAGGCTCCAGCTATTGAATGACTTTATTCTCTTATGCCTATCCAGCCAGTGACTTTCCTGTTGAGGAACAAGAAGACATGGCAAAATCTGACAAGCAGAGCTTGCCAGGTGGGCCCTGCATTCAGGCCCTTGGAGTCATCACCAGCAGCAAGGTCTTGCAAGATGCATCGGCTGCTGAATCAGCGCATCTCCAAAATCAAAGCTTCAGAAGTTGGAATCAGCTCCTCAATCTCTTGTTTTTGTTTGTTTTCGTATCTTCGATTGGGACCTTGATGGTCTCATGTGGCTTCCTCTGCACATCCCACAAGGGTACTCTTGAGCCCTCAGGAATGTGCAGACAATCCCAAGAGTCAAACGCAAGCGGCTTTGGCAAACAAAAAAGGTCTATAAAAATTAACATAATTGTAAATTGCATCCTTTGCACAGCAGGCAGCGTCTTCTCTTCACATACAGACCAGGGTACCTACATGGGACTGGGCTATCTTGGAACTGCTTTGGCCACTTGGTCAAGAAGGGGAGCAGCCCAAAAGCAGCCTTTGCTTTGGGTTGTGGGTAGCAGAAAAGAAGCTCCCTTCTCGCCCCAAAGGGACAGTGTGGACCTGGAGCCTGAGGGTCCTCTCTTGGGAACGGTCAATTCTTCACATTGGATCATCCAATTGGCCATTAGACTTGGGGTAAGTTAGGAGATTTGGCAGCCATTTTGTGTTCTCTTTGTGTACTCCCACTTACAATATTTAACCTACTTAATAAGTACTTAGGCTCTGTCAAAGCCCATAATTTAGCCAATCTCACTTTAATTGAGGCTCTGCCTTCAATCATATATGTAGCCCTGACCCTAATTAGGGCTGCATAACAGCCTCCTCATGAATCTGATACTGCAAGTATTTGTTTTGTTTGTAGACTCATATCCTGGTCCTGGTTAGAGACTAACCTTTTAATTCTTGGCTTCATCCATAGAGATAACGGAGGTTGTGTAAATAAAGGAGTTAATAGAAGAGAATCTCCATTGTGCCAGATTGAACTGTGGTGCCCTTGGTGCTCTGCTGGAGTGATGGTTTGCTTGCAGACCTTTTGTTATCCAACTAGGAAACCTCTTGGGAACAAATCACACCTTCCCTTGCACTGATGAAGTTACCTAGTTGAGTAACGAAATATTTGCAAGCAAAGCACCAAGCTCAGAGACCTCCAAGGACTCCACAGATGGAATTAAATATTGAAGTACATGAGAAAACAAATAGATGTTCCTTAATCATATGGCTGAGATTTCTGTTCAAGAGCCACTATTTGGATTACTGTCCTATTCTTCTACTCCTGCTAGAGGGTTTCCCACTAGCCCATTACCTTTAAAGACCCTCTGCTGGTAGGCATGAAGGTCTCTGCTGTCAGGGCTGATGTCCTGTTCATCTTTGCTTGGAACACAGTGAAAGCTGATTAACTGGCACCAAACTTTAGCCTTGTGCATCTGCATCCGAGATTGATACCATCGCTTTAGATTAGAACTTTGTGAATGATGTACTTCAAAAGTATGGAAGTAGGCCAGCATGGAGAATATGTTTAGACTGAGGTTCTGTGACTCAGTAACTCACTAACAGGAATCAAATTATTTTAGTAGGAGGAATAATTTTGTAATTAAGTTCTGTAGCATGATGCATAGCCCATCTTTTAATGAGACCCATACATGGAAATACACATCAATGCTTTGGAAATGTGCAGAATGTTGATCTGAGCCACTGTTCCTAATAGGTTTTAGTTTTATCATCCGCCCATCTCATAGAAGTGTCTGAGAAGCTGGAAACATGTAGAGAAGCCTCCAATTAAGATCTGCCGAGTTGACAGGGAGGCTTTGGGGGGGGGGGCAAAGTTACTGAAGGGGCTTTCATTTGCCTCTGTGCTGGAGCCCACAATTTGAAAAACAGTGTGCGTGTGGTGGGGGATGTAGACAGGAAGCTGTTTGGCAGAGAAAACAGGATACTGAGCTGAGCACAAGCAGTTTTTCTCTCCTCCTCCTCCTCTAGAGGGAGGGGTTTACCAAGGGATTCATGGAGCAAGTGGCCCCGATTCCCCCCTCTGCTCCCCCCCCTCCGTGAGATCAACAGCAACATTTTTGGGACATCTACACAAGCCGTAACCTGATGGGAAACTTATTAACAAATGGAGACCTCAGAGGATTATTTGCTTTTTCTCCAACTCCTCAAGCTGGCTGGTGGGAATAACAGAGCACTTTTGGAACCTAGTGCGTTAATGTTGCACACACAGAATTCCACACTAAGACACCAAGGTAGAAATATTTACTATTTATTTCAAAATAACTAGAGTTTTAGGGTTTAGCATGTCTGGAGGTAGCTGCAAAAATTCCTCGGTTCTTCTCCAAATTACTTACAATCGCAGTTTATACTGGACATTTTTTACAGTAAAAGCCCTTAAAATTAAAAGTGAATTTGTTTCCCAATGGATTTTTGTCTTCAGCTTGCTCAGGCATGATCCAAGAAGAGAGTTATAAAGAACAGTATTAAAATAAAGTTGGCATCTTAGTATCAGAAGAAAAATACAAGAGTTTGCACTGATTGTCAACACAGCACATTTCCAGTCTTTCCTTCCTTGTTTTTAAAAGCTATTGAAAGAGAAAAACGCTTCTCATTCAGATGAGCTACAGTCCTCCTGAGAATACATCTGTTGAAAATCTGCTGAAAATCATTTTTCTTATTTTTTTTTCTTTTTTTCCCCTTCTTTTTCTTGTTTCTTTTCTTTTTCTCTTTCTGCTTTTTAAATATTGGTGTTAAAGTATTTTATAATTTGTTTAATTATTGTAATCAAATTTGTATATGGTTTATTTGTGTTTAAAATTTTTTCTTTTAAATTTTAATTAAGCCTGTATTCAGCTCTGGGAAGGCTGGGGGAGGATTGGGGTGGGTTGGGAGGTTGGGGAAGGGAACTTTTTTGTAAAATTTTAAACATTTTCAATAAAAAAAAAGAAAAAATCTGCTGAAAATCAAGAACAAATCAGAGCAAATATATTCCTATTAGCTACCAGTGGATACCGAATGCTTTGCAATATATATTGACAGATATTTTCAAATTATGACATCAAGGAGTTAATTAACTCCTTATCTCTCCAGACGGGAGGCAAGCTCTAAAGTTATCCAAAAAATTGGGACAAATTACTTCATGATCTCATTCATGAAGAACTGTTGGAACAAAAAAATAGCACTATCTGGTTTCAAGATCTGTCCAAACTCTCAAAAACGGTCTGTCCAGAACTCCTGGTCTTTTAGGTTACCTTCTCTGTTCTTTTGGGGCGATCATTAACAGGATTCTATAAAACCGAAACGGCCCCCCTTCCCTGTAGGAACAGAAGCCGCTTGATGGCTCCACCTGCCGCCTCATCTCAAACCAGGGCTCTCCTGCCCCCTCTGAGATAGCAGGGCTGAGCCATGGACTGCCAGCATGCGGACCAGGGGTTCCACCACTGCCAAGCAAAAAGCCTCCTCCTCTTGGCCCAGGCTGACCTCAGCCAGCTAGCAGGACTTTCCTTTTTCAACTCTCATGGCAATACAAAGACTCTTGATGCACCTGACCAAGAAATCATAGTTACCAGAGCAGCCAACTGCCACCAAGACCAGCTGGTCCCAACACTGCTGCCCTCCCGTGAAAATTGCATCTGAGACATCCGTGCAGAGGGGCTCCCAAAGCCCAAATCAAAATCCTGGGTTTCTTTCCTCCCATTTCCTTCATCTATGGTTTCTGCTCCCACTATGTGGCACTTGGAATTTGTGGGTGGAGGTGAAGGTAATTCTTGGTGTTTCCAATGGAGTTAATCGGATCTAAAGCCCAAAGAACCTTCTGGAGCAAACCAGGTCTTCCGTAAGGTTCCACTCACGAACCCACAAGGTCCAGATGTCAAAGCTTTTCAGGAGTGTTATTTTTTTCACGTGACTGCATTCTCCCGTTGCGAGGCTCATTGTGGGTTATTCAGCTTCCAGGATTTACTTTTATGCTGGAATTTAATATTCTCAGTGCTGTCTCTGAAAAAAATATTTGATGCTAACCAGTTTTGAATTGAACACTTTAATGAAGTTATAGAAGAGAACAATTTCAGAGCTACTGATACTATTATTTCTTCATTAAAGATTGTCCCAACAGAGCAAAGATTTGGTGAAAGGATAAAAATGCGATTGCAGTAGAAACTTTTGGAAATACTGGTACGTTCTTCCAAATGCCGTTTACAGGTAATACAATTAAAACTAGAAGACAAGAAAACAGAAGTGCCTTTTCCGATATGCTTCTCAGAGAGTCCTTTATAACCTACCAGAGGAGCAGGTCTCGCCATCCTTGAATAGCAAAGCAGCTGTTTCAGCTCTGAACCCAAACGGCAGCCTTGGCTCTAGCAGGCAAGTTCAGCCCTGCTTCTCTGCACCTGAGGCTGCTCCTTGCCGCCAAGGCTCAGGGTCCTTGGGGTGCTGGGCCTCGGGACAAGGGAGCTGCTCTTGAGCAAGAGAAGAGAAACCCAACAGAGTGATTGTTGCACGTCCTGCCAAGGCCGAGGGAATTCACATCAGAGTAAAGGTCTTTTTTCTAAAGTGTGCAAGATCAGGATATGTCAACTGTCTCCCGATGGATCCAATCCCTGGAAGTCGGAGTGAGGGAGCAGAGACAGGGAACAGGGAACAGGTTTCCTGAGCAGAAACAGCTCTGGGTGTTGTAGAATGTCCTGCTTTTTTCAACTTCCGAAGGTCATGCTGCTCTCCTTCAGCCAGCCCATAAACATGTTTGCTGAACAAATGACATTTACTGCAATAGGGTTTTAAAGCTAATGGATGATATGACACTTAATATAGATTTCTGCGCTATTGATGGAAACATGAAATTATACAAAAATGTTGCAAGAGTTCCAAAAACTCTTGATTAAAAAATATGTACATCCTTATCTCCTGCTTTGTATATTCCTTCCTCTGCTCTAGTAACAAGGTGACACCCTTCCTCCCTCCCCTCGTTAGAAACAGCTTCCAAAAGAAGACCTTGGCTTAGGAGCAGTCTGGTGTCAGTGAGGTGCTCAGAGCTGGAAGTCCTGAAGTCCTGAATCTGTGAACTGAAAGGCCAGCTCCTTTTTGTTCACAAATGTTTATTTCTGAAATAAATCTGAACATGGCCTGTCTCAGAAAAAGGAGTCAAGGTCACCTGATGCTATGATTCCTGCAGCCGGCGGTGTCTTGATTCCGTACAGCCTTGACTCTCGGCCATTAAGGCTGGCTGGCGTCCCTCTTGGCTTTGCTGTTGCTGTGCTTGAAAGACGTCAACCCCAGGGGGGCATCAAAAAGGCTCTCCACATCGGTGCTGAAGCCATCGTCCTCACAGTCAAAGTCACTCAGCAGCTTACTGGAAGTCTTCTGGCGTCTGTGGAAGGAAACGTTTACCCACTGAGAAACAGCCTGCAACCTCCTGGGCTGCTGCTGTGCCACATGTAGATTTTGATCTAATTGGCAAAGCCGATAAAACAGCCATGGTGGATGCAGCCAAAATATGCCGAGTCTTTCAAGGACCTGCAGAGTACACCAGGTTTGGGGCAGGTGTATTTTCTCCTATGAAACAAGATGAATCTGGCAACACAGCCCCCATTTCTGGATATTTAAGAGCAACCCGGAAACCCTTTGGGAAGAGCAAACCGATCCATGTCTGGGGAGAATCCAGGCTGAGCAGCAGGAAGGGTGGCTGACGGGCTCGGGGGGGGGGAGAGGCTGGCTGTCAATGCAACATGGGTCTGTTTAGATGAAGACAGCAAAGGAGGGAGGTGGGGCCCAAGGGAAACTGGCAGCTCTCGAGGCTGCCCAAGGCCGGCTGGGCCCCCTTCCCCACCTGAGGTCCTGCCGGATGGTGGCCAGCTGTCCTTGCAGCTGGTTGTTAAGGTCCACTTGGTCTTCCAGATCCCTCTGAAGCTTCTTCTTGCTGTTCTCCAGCCTGTCTATTTCTTCCTCGGCTTCCTCCACCTGCCGCTTCATGGCCTTCAAGCGCAAGCTGAGCTGTAAAGCGAGGAGAGGACCTCCTGGAATCGGATGGAGGCTCCTCGGTGGCCTCCAAGGGGCGATGTGGGGGCAGCCCCTGGGGTGCTTCCCTGCTTACCTGGTCCTTCTGGTCTGTCAGGGAGAGGTGCTCGTCATCCACTTGCATCAGGAGCTCCTTCACTGTCCTCTCCAGTCGGCGATTGGTCAACTGGAGGTGACCTCGGTCCCTAGGAAGGCCAGGGAGAAGGGGAGGGGGACAAGAAGCCATGCACCAGATGAAGACACCCCCCCCCCAGCTCTCCAGATGCTTCCCTGCTCTCATCCTCCCCCCAACTGTCACCCGCTCTCTTCTGCCTGCTAGACTGATTGCAGCCAAGTGGGTTGGGCCAGATTGGAAGGGGGGGTGCTGTGGAGGGAGGGGAACATATTGCCGGTACTGTCTTGGCACAGCAGTCTCCTCCTCTGGGCTTCGGGGAAAGATATTGTGATAGAAGGAGGGGCAGATCAAGGCACTCCAAATGGCCCTTTCCCCTTCAGATCTGCCTCACTGGAGAGCACTGCTGATTATTTTTTCAATTTAACAATTTTATTTGGCCCATTCCAAGAACTCTGTGTGGCTAACTAAGCTATTTCCTGGATGGGAGGCCACAAGGAAACTCCAGGATCAGTCTTCTGTCTGTGGTCAGCAACACCAAAAATCCCAGAAGCCCCCCAGAGTCAAGTGGACCCACAGGCAACTTATGACCCACGGAACAAAGCAATGGGGCTGGAGAAGAGCCCCGGGGGGGGGACTTTGGGAGGGGCCTCCTCGTACCTTTCCTCACTCTCCAGCTGCTCCTCCAGCTCCAGGAGGCGGGTTTCCATCTGGGCCAGGAGGCCTTCCTTGTTGGGCTTGCGAGAACCTTCCAGATGGAGGATCCGGCCTCTCAGCTCTTTGTTCTGGAGGAGGAATCACCCCAATCCATCAGCAGAGGCATCTGGCAGCCGAGGAGCCAGAAAACTGGCCATCCCCAAACAGGAGATTCAAGGAGGACCCCTGCCCCCTGCCCCAAGTTATAACTAGCGCATGGGACATGGACGGAGGGCAGAAGAGTTGCCTTTCCAGTCCAGCACAGAGCAGAAGCTGCTACTCCAGAAGGGAGGAGAGGCAGCACCCCGGCTGACTCCACTGGGCAGCAGATGCCCAAGCAGCCTCTGGACTTCGCAGGGATCGCTAAGTGATGCCTCCATGGCCGGCTGGTGCGCCAAGAGATTTGTCCTCTGGAAAGCCAACGGGGCTCTGAAGGCTTGAAAGCGGAAGGGGAGTCTGCGGGCACTTAGGTGCAGGCAGGGGAAATGTGCTGGACGCTGGGTAGCCAGAGGGGCTGGGGTGCATGGCAAGAGGTGGCCCCTTTGGCCTCTCAGGAGAAAGCTGGCAGTGGACGCGGAGGGTGCTGGGCGAGGCTGGGGGAGAGCTGCAGTCCCAGAGCAGAGCAAAGATCATGTTGATGCCTGACCTGCCTTTCCAAGGTGGTCTTGTTGCCCTCCAGCTCTTGCTTGGCTGTCCTTTCCTGAAGGAGATCACTCCTCATTTGCTCAATCTTCAGTCAAACAAAGAGAAAGAAAAAGAGAAGAGAGAAAAACAAACACAGTAAGTGAACAAGTCAGTCAGAGCAGGGAAGAATCATACCTGCCAGTAGTCCAGGCTAAGAGCCCAGGCAGTAAAAATGCACTTGGAAAGGCAAGAGAGGCAATCTAAATTAGGCTGCAACAGTGGCAACACCTGCAGTTATGTGACATATGTGCTCTGTTCCCTTCAGCAGCCCATCCAGGCCGCTGAGAAAAGCTGGGCCTTGTTCCTGGCCAGCTGGCAGCTTAATCAGCAGGGATAAAGGCCAATAACAGAGCTGCTATTCCGCTGATATGAATGTTTAGTAGACCTGAAATAGTCTTCAGGAATCCCTGCATCCAAGCCCGGACCGAGGACAAGGCAGGCTTTGTCCTGTGTGCAGGAAACGGGGAGTTCCTTGAAGAGGAACTGTATTTTGCCTAATTTAAGCAATTTAAGCTGGTTAGTCAGCTGAGGTTTATGGTGTTTCCAAAGGAAGCCTCTTGCCAGAGCTTGCCAGGAGGAGACGCCCCCTGCTGGTCTCAGACAGGCTGCAGTGGAAAGAGGTCACCTTAAGTGACAAAGGTCACTGCAGGGGCCGGACTATCTCCAGGAACCCAGCTGGGCTGGCTGCTGGGGAGGGGGGCTGGCAAAGCCCCATTATGGGGAGGGCCAGCCTGCTTCCCAGAGCTGGCAGCTGCCACCTGAGCTGGGCAAAGGCCTACCTGCTCTCGGTCCCTGCTAATCCTCCCAGACAGGATGCCGGAATTGCTTCGTTCTTCTTCGAGCTCCAACTCCAGCTGGGATATTTTGTCCTGAGGGGAAAAACATTGGCCCACTCAACACCTGCGGCACCCACAACACAAGAAGGCCTTGAAACGTGACCTGGCCAAACGGAAGAAGGGGGAGAAGAGGAGCAGCTGCTCAGCCCACCCCCACCCTGGGCTTTCCAGGGAGCCCTTCCAGTCTGGCACACCTGAAAGCAGCTCCAAGCACCTGGGAAGATGCCCTGCCCATCTGAAGGGCTGTGAGCCCAAGCACTCTCCTCTGGAGGGCTTCTCTAGAGGCCCCTGACCTAAAGGGCCGTGGGAAACCACACCTTCCACAGGTGAGCACATTGTGAACACTTGAGCTCCTTTTTACACCAGCAGCAAATGGAGAGGGGCAGGCTTGCTTGGCTCAGAGCCCCACAAGCTTCATCCATAAGCACACTGGGGACAGTTTAGTATGTTTCCATTGAAAGACCTGGCAAGAGAAGGACCTGCCAAGGACCTGTCTGCCTTGCAACCACCAGCCACACCAGCTGGGTGTCCTATTCAGTCCTGCCCCCTCTGAAGCTGGATCCAGGGGCAGCCCAGAACAAACGGGGGGGGGGGGGCTCACAGATGAAGGGATGCTGCATGAGACAGGGAGGAGGCTGTCTCAGATGCCCTTCAGGATTTTGCAGGTGGGACACTGAGTGGACACTCATCTTTGCACAGCAAAACAATCATGTTTCTCCATCTCAGTCTGCCTCCTCAAATACGGTTCATTTCTACCTGCAGTATCTTGGCCTGTCTTGCCCGGTCTTCTTTCAAGTGGCTTTTAGTTTCCAGTTCATATTCCAAGTTCTTCACAGTGTCTTCCAGAAGTTGAGTCTTTGTGAGGGCTTCTTTTTGGGCTTTTTTGTGACGTTGTAATTCATCTTCCATAAAACGTACCTAAAAGTCAAAGAAATGTCTCCCATAAACCTCTCACCCATATGTTCTGTAGATAGATAGATCTAGAGGCAAAGGAAATAATTCTGCATTTTGCAAACCCAAATCCTAGAGATTTCTTCCATCTCAGCTAGACTCAAGTCTGTGAAGGTCCATGAGATGTGGTGCTGATTCCCAGCTTGGCTGGTTTAAAAAATGAGTTGGACCGATCCAGAGCAGTCCTGGGGATCAAGGGCTCTTAGCCGGAATGGCAACATGGCTGCCTCCACAAGGCAACAGCTGGGAGACTGGGGGTCTTCCGTAGGCAGTTGGTGGCCATCCTGAGGACAGACCACTGGGCCATGTGGCCCAGGGGTCTCATCCAGCTGGTCGGCCCATTCCAGAGTGCAAGTTCATTTGTGAGCACTGAACTTTCAGAGAGCATGTGCAGTCTTTTTCCAGCCACAAGGGGACAGCAGTGCAACACAAGGCCACCAGAAGGGATGCCAGAGTCAGGACAAAGGACCCCGAGCTTCCTTGGCCCCTCACCCAGCTGATGGCTCAAGGGAAGACAAAGCTTCGGAAGAAATGGCAACTTTATTTGCTTTGTATAATCTGCTTCCTGATGTTTCCATCTTCAACTGACATTTCTTAAGAGCCCCTTCTGTTTATTTTAACAGCCAGCCTATAACTCCTACTTGCTTGTTCCAGGCTTTTTCCAGCTTGCTTTGCTTGTCCCCAGTACTGGGAGTGTTACAACTCAGGCAGACACAAAGGCCTCCTCTTGGCCTGACTCTGGACTATTCACAAGCACCAGCTGGGCTGACCTTCAGCAAGGACAGCTGGACCCTAGGCTAACAGGTCCTGGCATGGTTTTTGCTGGTATCCTGAGTCTTGTAAAGGCCAAGGGTGTCCCCTAAAGCAGGACAAGTGGAGTGAGGAATGCTTGCTGATGTTAACAACACAACTGGGATTCAGCCTCACTTTGGGTATCGTTAGCTATTTATCAAGAGAACCCATCTATTTTATCTACAACTAGTTTCTGCTGGGCTGTTTTGTTTCAGTTATTTCTACTTTAGGTGGAGTTTAATTGATGCTTTTGGTTACATGATACAATTGATGTTTGATTGCAGGCAGGCAGGAAGGTTTACAAATAAGAGGAGGTCAGTGGTCAGTACCTGCTCTTGCATTTTGAGGATTGCCTGGTAGGCCTTTTCTAGCTCCAGGGTTTTGTCCTTCAGCTGCTGCTGTGAATCTACCAGCTGCTGCTGGTTCTTCTCCTTGTACTCATCAAGCTGCTTCTGGAGCTGCTGGGTTGATTCCTGGGACACTTTAATGATTTCCACCATCTATTCAAGAGAAAAGATTTCCAAGGAGGGGCAAAGGCAGGTGCCCCAAACCCTACTGGAAGACACTCTTTCTCCTAGGTTAGGCTAAACTGGCAAGCAAGACTTGCTGATGTCTTAATTAGAAATAACAACAGTATTTGGATCGTGGTTGTGCTCTTTCCCCTCTACAGACCTCGATGGGGAAGGATGTGAATCCAATGGGAAGCTTTTTTACTGTTAAAATGCCGTAACCTGAAGAGCATGTCGCCATTTGTTTTCTGTAAATATCTGTAAGGGATTTCCAGGCATTTCTGCAGTGACTCTGGCTGACCATTATTTGAATATCAGAAGATGCTGCCCTCCTTGAGAGCTGTTTGCAAAGTGTGTTTGTGTGCTGAGTAAGCCTCCTCTGAAACTTTGGTGGCTGACAGTTGAAATGTAGAGATTTTAATGTCACCCAGAAGGCCCAAAGTCTCTGGAAAGATGGGCAGCTTACCTCCTTCTGCAGCGTTTCCACCGTTCTATCCAGCTGCTGCCGCTCATTCTCCAGTTCACGTTTTGTCTTCTGTAGCTGATCTTTTTGGGAAGCTTCATCTTCCAGACAACCCATTAGCTGCTGCTGCTCCTGGCTCAGCCGACTGAGATGCTTCTGCGGAGGGAGGGAGGGAGGGAGGGAGGGAGGGAGGGAGATGTGGCTGTGTAGGCTGAGGCCCCAGAGAAATTGAGGGGCCAGGGGCAGAGCACCATCACTGGCTCGCTGCAACGGCAGGTTCAAGGCTGGGTCCTCAGGCTTCCCCCACATAACCAGGGCACAACTCTGTCCTGGCTGCCTCTTTTCTGCTCTGTTCCCACCGGTGCCTTCAGCTCACCCCCAGGACAGGCTACTGCAGAGGCAGGGCAGCCTAGTGGTTAAGGCATCAGGCTAGAGACCGTGAATTCAAGTCCCACCTTAGGTACGAAATCCGACTGGGTGATTATGAGCCAGTCCCTCCCCCTCAGGCCAACCCACCCCACAGGGTTGCTGTTGTGGGGAAAATAGGAGGAGGAAGTTGTGTTGGATATGTTCTCTGCCTCAAGTTATTTGTAGAAATAATAGAGGTGGGAAATAAATACATGAGTAAACGGGGCCCTTTGTGCAGATGTTCCACATGTATCATTAACTGAATTGCCTCAATGCAGAAGAGTTAAAAAAAATCAATAATCTTTAAAATGAAAAATGAGATCCAAATTCTGCAGCAGCCACCTAAAATTTGCTAGCAGGAGGAAGGCAAAGGCACCAGGAAGGGTGGCCAGAAAGTGGAATACACTTATGTTGCCTACTGTGGCTCCAACCACACAAGAAGCAGGTGGCAGAGGCACAAGGAAGTGGGGAAAGCACAGGCAAGCCTCTTGGCCTCTGCTGCACCCTACAATTTGACAGCAATTAAGAGAAAGAGGCTAATGCTCTTGATTAGTCCTCAAGACAAACAGACTCAGGAACAGGCCCCTTTGAGAGAACATTAGCATACAGACCCAGCAACAACAACAATTTAGAAAACTGCCAGGCATTAAAAGCTACCGAGATGGTATTGCACACAGCTGCTCCGTACAGCACTACCGAAGCCTTTCTGGGAGGCCATTTTTCACCTCCCCTTTAAACCCTCCTTCTCACCTGGGCATCCTCCAGCTGGGCTTCCAAAGACACCTTGGCTGAGGCCAGCTGGTGGGCTTCCTCCTTGGCGTGGACCAAAGACTGCATCTCTCTCTGCCAGAGTGAAAGATTGACTGAATCAAAAGATTCATTTGTCTGCAGATATTAAGCAAATCTAGACAGTTCACAGTAACAATAAAACCAATATATTAAACAATAACAAAACAATAAAAACAGTGTCACAATAAAACAAAAACTCGGCTCTGCTTGAATAAACCAGAGCAGCTGCTGCCTACAGCCCACCCCACGCCACCTCAGGAACCTGGATTTGAAGGCTTCAAATTCTCTGGCCCTTTGAGCCCCAGTCACAGGCCAGGATTTACAACCAAGTGGACAGAAGGTTAAGACCTGTCAGGCTGAAGCCACCCAGATGAGCCCCTCTCCAGGCCCTCCTCCAAGGCCCACAGAGAATGCCAGAAGACACCCAAGGGTGCCCTGGACGGTCCCTTTCAGGAATGGACACTGGTGGAATTGGGACACTGGGCAGCTATCTGAGGTCTCTCGGACAGCTAGAAGTTTGGGAGGAGATAGCAGCTTCATCTTCTTCCCTGCTCCTACGGTTTTCGAGTGAACCTCAATAGTAGTTGGGCTACTAGTGATGCAATAAAGAAAATGACACCCAAGCCAAGGAGTTTGCCCTCCTTCTCCTCTGCTTGCTTCACACCCTGAGACTCACCATGCATCTCCTCAGCCTTTCCTCGGCTTCCTCCTTGCTTCCACTCAAATCCTCCAGCTCCAGCTCCAGCCCTTGCTGCTTCTTCTCCAGCTGCCCCAGGGTTTTCCTCAGCTGCCTGTTTTGCTCAGCTATCCCAGCCACGCGGTCTTCTTGGCTCCTTTGCTCCTTCTCAGCTTCAGCCTTTGCACCGGACAGGGTGCCAATTTTCTAGGAAGACAACCCGTTACTCGAATCAGAAAGATGCAGTGCTGAAACCGGCTGACCCTCACCTGAGATGTAGGGTGGTTGGGGGGGGGGTGTCTCCATTTGACTTCCTCCTTGCCCTGAAATGCCAGCAGGGTTGGGGAGGGAGCAGTCAAAGGAGACTGGCTGGTTCTTAGGGCCTCATGTGGCAGGCAGCCTATGACTGTCTCAGACTGCAAAGAAAGAGGCCTCTTGAAGAGGATGGCTACTTAAATGCTCGTTTAAGGTCTGGAATAGAAGGAGGAGAGTCAGAGAGGAGGCCAGTGACTGTAAGACCAGAGGAACTGCCTCCTCTCTCAGCTGCCTGCTTCCAATTGTCCACCAGCTTTAGGAGAAGGTCTTGCCATAAGGTTTGGGAAGGGTCTTTAGCCGCTAGATGGCTGGTCTTCTTGACCAGCCACAGCAAGAGCCACTGGACAGTGGCTTAAGTCAGGCAAAATTAGAAGCAGCGCTTCCACTGTTCTTGTTACCTCTGGAATGACTTCCTTGAGCCATCTTCAGCAAAGAGGAAGAAATCAGCCAGGTGGGGCATTCACTAACAGGTAGTTAGAATAAATAGCAAGGATGCTTCTCCCGGAGGAGGTGCAGACATGGGGTTGCAGGTCAAGATATTGTCCAGCTTTCTAGGTTGCTAAGCCTTATAGCCAAAATGGACCAGAGGATAAATGCAATGGGCATCTTGTGTGGGAAGTGAGCTGAGGTTGAAGATTTAAATCTGGTCTGCAGGCACAGGAACAGTGCAATAAAGCTAAACAGGAGCAACCCTTTTTCTGGCTAGCCATAAAGTGCTCACTGAAAATGAGAGAATGTAGACCTAGTTTTCATTAACAAGTGATACGGCACTTTTCACGTGTTATTAAGGACTGCAGCTCTCAATGCTACAGTAGAGCAGGACACGGTTTCCCAAACCCCAGGAAGCAGCACTGGCCAGATTAGCCAAGGGCACCAAAGCGCCTGGTCCAGGATGTTCTGAGCACATTAAAAGGCAGAGCAGAACCCAGATGATTTCTGTGTTTATTTGCATTCATCTCGCTCACGGCAATGCAATTCACAGTGACTATTCCAAGGGTTAAACTGTGATTAGTCTTGTCAACACACAGCCTGCATCAGAGCCACCGAACTGGCTGGGCGAGATTCCTAGAAACCAAGGCCAGAATCACCTGTTCACAGAGCCAGATATGCTCAGAGAATATCAAGAACCCAGAAAATGCAAACAAGGTGCTTCAAGAGCCAGTCCGACTGGCCTTGAATGTCAGTTGTGCCTCAGAATAATTCCGTGCAAGGTTGTGTAATGAGGAGGAATGGCCCCCTCAGCCTTAGACTGGGCTCATTTTGGGGGGAGGGGGTGGCACCTTGTGCTCCTTCATGACGTCGGCCACTGCTTCTGCTGCTCTGGAGTTGGAAAAATCTAGAGAAAAAATTTCCAAGCATTTTGCTGTCTTAGAGGTATCTCCTGCATTGCTTAATCCTGATGTTTTTTAACCTGCTTCTATGTTTATACTTTGATGCCTGTTTTTGAATTGTTATTTTCTTTGGCATTCTAGATTAGGGCATGGCTCCTGTGCTTTTCACTGGAAAAACTAGTTGTGAACATTTAAATAAAGAATGGAAGAAAGAGCACCACACAGGAGAGACAGAGGGCAGCTGCATTGGGGCCCTGCTCAGAAGTCAGGCTGTTCCTGCTCTCCTTCAGTGTCCAGGTGGAAAAGAGGCACCTAGGAGACCAGGCAAGGCTAGTGGTCAATCCCCCAGGGAAAGACCTCCTCCTCTTGTCCTGGCTGTCAGGTGGCCAGATTGGCCAGGAGCAGAGCTGAGCTGCTTCAGCCCCTTCTTCCTCACAAGGCAAACCCACCTCCGGCCCCACATGGTTAATGAGTTACAGCTAATCATCACTTGCAGCCGCCATCACCTTTAAGCCATCTTTTAATTTTCTCCCTGAAAAGTACCATTCAGGCATGCCCAGCTGCTCCCTCCTAATGAAATTCTTTAAGAGAGTTCAATTTCTGTCCCCTCTTCCTACTCAAGGGAGAACCACAAAGAGACCTAGTGCTAGGAGAAGGTAATTGAACTTTGAGCGCTGGCCAGAAGAGCCGAGTTGTCCAAGCCTCTGACACCCAACCAAGTGACTGGTGGCCCTGGAAAACAACAGCACCCCAAAACAGAGTTGCAAAAAGGAGGAGGGCAAACCAACTTTGCACAATCAACGTAGCCAATCGGACACACATTAGTTGCCATTCCCAATAAGGGCCAGGCAAATTCTCTGACCCATAGTCTCCCGGCATCTGACCTTGACCCGGAGAGGCCTCTCATGCCCAGCCTCCGGCAACACAGGAAAGCCATCCTGGGCAGCCCAGAACCAGAGCAAAATGCAACAGACCTTGGGGGGGGGTACAGGTCAAGTCCATCAGGGCCTGACTCCCTTCCCTGCCTGGTCCCCAAGACTGCAGAGGTCACTGTTTTTGCTTTTACTGTGGGGGCAGAACAAGGAGAAAGGAAGAAGGGCATCCTAAGAAGGATTCCCAAATGGGCATCCTGCTGACCAAACCTGCTGGACAGTGTGAACCCAGACAGTGGCAGGACCACCACTACATTTTTGGCTGGCTGAAATAAAGTGCGGCATACATACAACAGAGTGAATCCAAAAGAGCAGCTTAGACCGTTCAGAGTGAGGATTTAAAAGCATAACTTACCCAATTAAAGACAATTAACAGATTGTCTCAAGGACTGTTTAGAAAATGGGGAAAAATCTGTCTTCCAAACAAGCAAAAAATGGATAGGAGAGTAAAAAAGTGAGTGATTAAAATCCCTGCTTTTATTTCCAGTGCCCAACCCTCCCGCGGAGCCTTCTGAAATTGTGGCAATAATAACTTGAGCACAAAACAGTTGGTTCGTGCAGGAGAAGGAAAGCCGCCATCTTGGGCTGTCCCTGGCATTTCTCCTGCCGGGCGAGGGAGAAGGTTCAGGCAGAGGACGTGGCCTGGGGGGAGGGCTGGGGGGGCAGTAGGACTGAACTGGGGAAGCCGTGGGCTCTGCTGGGCACCTCACTGACCTCTGTAGCTTTGGCCAGACTGTCTCCCAAGCTCTGGAGCTCCCGGATGTGCTGCTCCTTGAGGTGGCCCATCTCTCGATCTTGGTTAGCCATCTCTACCTTCAAGACACTCTTCAAGGCCATCAGCTCCCGCTCGCGTCTCTTCAGGGCCTCTTCTTGCTGGTCTCTGAGCTCCTGCAGCTCCTGCAGCTCCTGCTTCACTTGCATCAATTCCTGAACACGGCAATGGAGGAGGAGAAAGGGGGCCCCTGTTCAGAAGGTTGTGGCCAGGCTCCAAATTCCTGCCCTTCTGCCTGCCATGTTTTTCTGCTCCAGCACAGGGTCCTTTCAGGCAGGAAAAGGATCTCACCTCTACGAGTAAATCCTTTGCGCTGTCCTCCATGCGCTTCGCAGTGTCCAGTTCATCATGCATCTCGGAAAGCTGATCCTGCAAGTCTCGGATCTCTCTCTGATGCTGCTCCCGTTCCATTTTCACTTGGAAAAGCCTCAAAGGGAGGAAGAAAAGAAGCATTTTTGATATGCCTTCTTTGGTCTGCCAGCTGGAATCCATGTCAGTCATAACAAGCCCTCAAAAGCTTCAGGAAGGCACACTTTGGTGGAAAGAGTTTGCAGCAGCCAAAGGGGCAAAAGGAAATTTACAAATGAAGCAAATGGGTAGAAAGAAAGAATAAATAGTACAGGATAAAAGACAAGAGAGAAGAAAGAAAAAATTCAAATATAATAAATAAAGAAAAATATATATAAATAAATAACTTTCATCATAAGTAGAAACAAATTTAGTGACTCTCAGACCCTCTAAGATTACAAACATTTATCTCTTCATCCCATATCTGGTCCTGTCTCCAGGGACAAATCCATAAATCATTATCTTTTCACTTCTGGTGTCAGCAGAAGTCTCATAAAGGGCTGCCAGAAATAGCAACATATCTTATGTTAACCTTGATCAAATAAACCAACTTTATATTCCTTCCTTTTACTTGTATAATCTTTAATTCAGGGGTCTCCACCCCCCGTCTGCGACATGCCAGAAACCGGTCCGCACAAACAAATGAAGCCCCCTCCGTGGGATGCAATCAGCCCATGAAGCCACGTCTCCTTCCAGGTCATGGAAAAACCTCTCTCCACAAAACTGGTCCCTGGTGCCCAAAAGGTTGAGGGCCGCTGCTTTAGCTCATTCAAATATTGTTGTAGAAAGAACAATATTCTTTTTTCTTTCTATTTAGTTTGTATTAGACTTTACTATTATAATCAACACTCATAGCAAAACTCACTCCTCCAGGTTTTCTCTAAGGTCTTTCTCACTTTCCTTCAGCTGCCTCCTGAAAGTGTCTTTCTCCTCCATATTTTCTTTAAGCTGTTGCCGAAGCTTCTGAAGCTCTGCTTCCATTGTCTGCCTTTCAGCTTTGAAGTTCTGCTGATTCTAAAACAGCAAATTTTGGGAAAAATAAAAAGAATCTATTAAGTCTCCTTGCACCTTTCTAAAGACTCCAGTATTTCTGGGAAATGGCAAATGGGCCATGTATCTGGTGCAAGGCATCTCCCTTTGTTCCTTCTGAAGGCTCCAGGGGGAAGCAAAGACTAGGGGGTGTTTGGGGCAAGGACCACAGCCTATCTTCAGCATGGAATGGACCTGGATCCAATGACTGCCCCAACTCAGCCTGCTCTAACAGCCAGCAGGTCTCCTAAGGCTGGAAGCCGAACTGTTCTCCAATACCTGTGTGGCTGAGCCATTCTTAAAAACCCACATTCTCTGTTCTTGTGTGCAGGATTAGTGACCGACAGGAAGTGGGGGGGGCTACCTTGAATTCCAAGTCCAGCTTCCTCTGTAGCTCAGAAACCTCCTTTATCAACCGCTTTTTCTCTCCCACTAACACGTTGACTTCCACTGAAGCATCAGATGTCTGCAGTTAAACAAGATTCATTTGTTCTAAACATCTCAACTCCCCACGAGGCAATGAAAGCTGCCTCATAAGGCCTTCGGGAGGGACCTTGGGGGACTTTTCAAAAGAAAGCAGCAAAAGGCAGAAGAGCAGCAAAAGTGAGTTGTGTGTGAGAAGCCACAAGACACATTTGTTGCTTGAGGGGAGGGGGAAGAGCCAACTGGCAGCACTGCTTGCAAAAAAACCGATCCTGTCCACATGATGACAAAGACGCTTCACCAGCAGCCTCTCTACTGAGCTCTGGGAAAGGGCTGCCCTCCTGCCCCTTCCCCTCCCAGAACAGGCAGTCCTGGGAGACAGGAGGCTCTTTCCTTGGGGTCAGTCACCTGGGGACTCCCAGCTGCTCTGGACTTCAGGGTCTGGATTTTCTCAAATACCAAGTTGACTTTCCTCTTGGTTGCATCCTCGTTTTCGCTGGTACTAAAACGTGAAAAGAGACCCAAAGTTTGCTCAAATGGTCAGAAAGCCAAAAACCCTGGATCCTCCAGCTGCCTGCAGGGTCTACCTGCTTGCAGAAAGGCATTGGCTGCAGGGAGTCCTTGTACGAATTAATCAGCGTGGACCTTCACCTTGGGGAAACCAAGTGATGCAGGGCCCAAGCAAGACTAAGTGCTAAATACCATGCCATAAGCAGGGCCTCATGCAAGCCCACTGACCCTTCCTGGAGATAGTGGTAGAGAATCTGCTTGGCTGTCTCTTCATTGCTTTGCTGTGCGAGTTCCTGCTGGCCCTTGAGCAGGTCAGGTGTCACCTGAAACACAAAACTCAGGATGAAACGGATGCCTTAGCAGGAAAGATTCTCGTTTCCAATTGGGCTGACACAGGTTGTGCTACCCTTCAGCTGCGAGCAGCTCTGAAGAGTTGCAGAGAGGCCTGGATACCAACCCTTGGATGTGGGAGGCAACGTGGCACCCTTTGAGGCAAAAGCCCGAATGAGACCACCTCCCATTTCTAGTTATTTCTGAGAAAACAGGCCAGGCGGTGGAGAGAATGCTGTGTGTGAAGACAGGGAATAAAAACGATCTATTTTTTTTAATTGCAAAGTGGCTTTGTGATGCAAACTACCCAGAGCTGTTCATTCCAATACCCGCTAGCTGCCAATCCCTCTGCCTTGAAACCAGAAGTCATTCCACTCAACTCTGCCCATTTGTCCACCCAGCAGCCCCCCTTCCCCAGGGATCGCTGCCCCTTCTGTCCCTCTGGTCAACACTGCACCATGGGAGCTGAATGGCCTCTGAACACACTGAAGCAGCCATCCATCACCCCAAGTTACCTGAGCATTTTTCGAACCAGAAGCAAAAGTTTCCATCGACTGATTCTGACTCACAGTGCTGTTTGGTAACAAGAGAGTGGAGGCCGGAGTTTTATGGTCTCTTTTTTTACACTGCCTTGGAAGAGTGGAAGACTTAGAAGGCAAACTCTCTGGGTCCATTTGATCACGTCTAAGATGCTGCAAGGAACTAAAGTGGCTGCTGGGAGAATCTCTCATTCCTGGGGTTGTTTGGAGCTTGCCTGCCGCCCAAGGGGCCATCTGATCCCCAAGAGAGGCTGCCTTCTTCTCTGGAGACAGCGGCTTCTGCAAACAAACTTGGGAGGATTGGACCAAATGCTCGGACGACCTTCCCAAGGTATTGGTGAAGTCACCGATGCAATCAGAATGCGGTGCATGAAACAGGGCGCTGTCTACACTCTTGGATCGCCTATGATTCTCTGGAAGAGTTCGAGTCCTGAACCCTAATCTTCCCCTTCTTTGGGGACAAACTTTCCTGTCAAACTTTTCAATCAGCTCTTCAACTGTAGGAATGGAGCCAGTATCAATATCACGGCCAGTTCCAGGCAAAAATGGGATATAACGCCGGTTTTCATGCCGGTTTACATGGTCGGCATAGATGGCGTATTCTTGGTCATCTAGAAAAAATCTGGTTGTGGAGACAGCAGAAGTTGGAGTAGTGGATGAAGATGTAGATTTCTGGGAGCCATTCAGGGCTGCTCCTGCTGAGTCCGGCTGGCGGAAAGGCAGGAGGTCTGGTCTGCACCTCCTAGGACCTGAGCAGGCAGAGGAACTCGCAGTAGGTGAAGATCCAGCCCCAGGAGAGAGTGGTTCCTGCCTTCCACCAGGACGGTCGGCAACCTGGGGGCTTTCCAGCTGCTGCTGGTTCTGGTTGGGCTTGGCCAAGTCTACTTTCACTTTTGATTTAGCCAGTTCTGCAAACTGGGGGGCTGAGTCATCCAGTGCTACCTTCAAAGATGAGTTCCACGGCCTGGAACCCAATTTCCCTTCATCCTCAAGAGACTGGGATTTGCCAAGCAGGCGAGGCTGAAGGTCCTTCGGATTCAAGATGCTGTTTGCAGGATTATAGGGTTGAAGCAGCTCTGGATATTTCTGGAAGTTCAGCAAATTGGAGGCCTGGGAAATCTCACCTTTTAAAGGTGAGGCTGTTTTCTTCCCCTCCTCCCTGCTGGCCTGCTTCAGGCTTTTAATCCAGCAGGGTGGTGCATTATCCCAAAGCCCGCCGATGGGCCTTCCTTCCTGGCTGTTCTTGACTCGTCCAATGGCAGGAAAAGTAGAATCTGGTGCTGGCTGATCAGCTGCAACCTGCTGGCCATTTTCAGACCCCAAGAGATTTGCTGACAAACATCCCTCAGTGTTGTTGAGCACGAGGTAGGGATGGCCATCGATCCCTTGGACCCGGATGGTGACTCCATAAGACCCGGCCTTGGCATTCGGAAGGTTCTTTGGGCTCTCCTGTGTTGCCAGCTTGGGGGGGGTCACCCGGTCCTGCTGCCGCTGCCAGAAACCATTGGGAGAGGACTTCATAATTCCCACAGACCACAGCTGTGAAAAAAGCAGAGAGGAAGAAGTGAGGCGATGACCTTGCCCAGGGAAAAGCCTTTCTGAACTTCCTAGCTGTCCGAAGGTGTCCAGACAAGTGGCTGGGCGATACAGGTGGAGCTCAAGGACAGCCCCCTCTTTCTATGGGCCCTGGCAGCAGTGCCCTCCCTTCCTCCTGCCTTCAGCATAGCGGGGGGGGGGGCTCCCTGCTTCCCAACTCCCGCTTTGATCCTCCAGCTACAGGAAGCAGCAGCGGGAGGAGAGGCAAGCAGCCGCCCCACTCTGGAATGCTCTCCTACAGGCTGCCTGGCTGGTAGGGCAGCCGCCGCCTAAGTGCTGTTTGTGTCAGCCGGGTGCCAGGCAAAGCCCAGGAGGTGCTGCGCTTCCTATCTCTTCAACTCCGGGCCTGTTTTTCATGGTGTTTTGCATCAGTTGCTCCACTGCCTTTCATTAATATTTCAGTTCATCTGTTGGCAACAAATACTTTGCTTTTGATTGACTCCTGTCTGAAGAGACTACCATCCCATCCTTGCAACACTCTGAAAGCCCCCATTTTGATGTATATTGTTGGTTCCTAAGTGCAGACCAGTGTTAATCTGACCCTCCCTTCTTGCTGCTACCTCAGCTTCCGGCTCAGAGCCAGGAAACTTCCCTTTGGCACCTGATGCTTGATTTCCCAAATGCAGCTGATGTCCTAATGCTGAAATTTTACATCCCTAAACATGCCTTTTCTGGAGAACTTATTAGTAGTGCCAGGCTGGGCTTGGGGGAGAGTTTACTAATTGTGCACAGGCCTCCCGGCCTTGCAGAAAATGGACAATAAATCCAGGCTCCATTCCCCCGTATGACTTAACCAGCCCAAAGAGCTAGACCACCTGCTCTCTGCCCAAGCCCTGCTCCTTCACCAGCTGCTGCCTCCTTCCTAGACTCAGGTTAGGAATTCTGCTTTTCTGCCAGGCTTGCCACACTTCAATTCCCAATGAGCAGTTCCCCCACCAGTTTCCCAGCCCCAAAAGCTGGTCCACGTCCTGGATTCCAAGCTAGCAAGCCCCACAGACCCTTGACTAGGTGCTTCCAAGGCTAGCAATGGACAAGGCTGCCCCTTTGACCCTGCTCAGTTTGGGGCACAGCTCAGCCCCACTCCCCATATCAGGGCTTGCCACTGGGAATCTTCTCCTGCTTGTACGGAGGCTGGGCTCTAGACCACCTTGGACCCCGAGCTTCAGCTTGATAAGGGGGATGGAGACCCAGGTGGGCCATTGGCAGGAAATGATGTCCACTAGCTTTTCTCAGCTCTGCGCTTCCTCATGGACCTTCAAGCCACTTTCAGATGAATCCCATTTGTTTATTCCACATATTCACAACTCACTTCAGCAGTCCAGCTTCTAGGAATTATCAGAAAAGACAGCCAGGAAACAAGGCCTACATCTAATCACACCTGGACAGATCCCATATCCTCTGGAATCCATGGAATCCACAGATTATTAGAACAGATTTTGGAGCTGGGTTATAAGAAACGGTATGTAGCTGAGTCTAGCAAAGAGACTGGTGGACTCACCACACAACGTGGCCCTATAACAGAGGTGTCAAACTCAATTTCATTGAGGGCCACATCAGCATTGTGGTTTCCCTCGGGGGGGGGGTGTGGCCAGGGTGGGTGCAGCCTGCTGGGTGGGCGTGGATGGAGTGGGTGTGGCCTACTGGATGGACGTGGCCAGCTCTACATCATTAGCTTCAAGGGTGCCTGTGAGGGCCTGGGCAGGAGTGGGACAGATCTGAGGGTCTCTGGCAGAAGGGGGTAGGACCAGGGCAAGTGCCAAGGCATGGTCCACTGGAGGAGCCTCACTGTTCTTCTCAGACCATGCGGGGGAGGGACTGGATGGTGGTTTGGGCTGCCCAGAGCCCTGAGCAGCAGAGGTTAAAAACCCAGCCTGGCCCTCGAGCATCCGCGGCACCATGCTCAGCCCCACTTCCCAAAGGGGGCACCCAGCTACACTTACCTCTTCAAGGCTGCTGCTGCTATGCTTGGTCTCCTTAGTCAGGTTGCTCATAATGGGTAGGAGGGCAAAGTCAGAGGGAGGCCCATTCCCTCTCCATGGGAGGAGACTCAGCTTTGTATCCAAAGCTTCCTTAGCAATAGGATGGGAGACTCCCAGGATCGGCCAGGAGGAGGGGGCAAGGGGATGGTGAAAGGGCAGCAGGGCAGGACTAAGGCAGGATTTCCCTCAGACCCTCCCTCTCCTTTTTTCCTTCCTTCCTAAGGACAGAGTGGTGGGAAAATATTTGAGATGAGGGAGGGAGAAAAACAGGCTGGGGAGGTGTCACCCTTCGTGAGGAAGGAAGAAATGCACCATCACCTGGAAGTGGCCAGCACATGGCTCTCACCTATTTCACATATCTGGCTCGGTGGGCTTTGAAGGAGGGGATGCCATGAGCAGTGTGAGAGTCAACATTACCTGCCCAACCTGCCCAGCCCCCAACCTGCCCGGTCTCAGCAGGCAGCGAGGCGCTCTCCTCACAGCACCAAGAGGCTGAGGCAGGCAGCGTGAATCCAAAAAGAAGTGCGACGCTGCCCAGCCTCCAGCCTACTCGGTTTTGGCAGACAGCTGGGCGCTTTCTTCACAGCACCAAGAGGCTGAACCAAGTGGCGCAAATCCAAAAAGCATGATGCTGCTCAGCCCCCAGCCTGCCGTTTCAGCAGGCAGCGGGGCACTCTCCTCACAGAGCCAAGAGGTTGAGCCGGGCGGTGTGAAGCTCGCCAGCTTTGCACCTTGCTGCCTGCTGAAACTGGGCAGGCTGGGGGCTAGGCAGCATTGCACTTCTCATCAGTTTTGCGCCACCGGGCTCAGCTCTTGGCGCTGTGAGGAGAGCGCCCTGCTGCCTGCCAAAACCGGGCAGGCTGGGGGCTGGGCGGCCTCTTGCTTCTTTTTGGATTCGCGCTACCCGGCTCACCTCTCAACGCTGTGAGGAGAGCGCCCTGCTGCCTGCCAAAACCGGGCAGGCTGGGGGCTGGGCGGCCTCTTGCTTCTTTTTGGATTCGCGCTACCCGGCTCACCTCTCAACGCTGTGAGGAGAGCGCCCCGCTGCCTGCCGAAACCGGGCAGGCTGGGGGCTGGGTGGCATCGCACTTCTTTTTTAGATTCGCACCGCCCAGCTCAGCCTCTCGGCGCTGTGAGGACAGTGCCCCGCTGCCTGCCAAAACCCCTCCCCTGGAGCCCATCAAGCCAGATATGTGAAGTAGGCGATGGTGCATTTCTTCATTCCTCACAAAGGATGACACCTCCCCAGCATGCACCCAGGAGGCAGGGCCGACACGACGGGCTGGTTCCTCGGTGTTTCCAGATGGCCTTGTGAGCTAAGACTGAATGCGTTTCAGCATAGATGGCCACCACAAAATTGTACATTGGCTCCTGGCTGGCCAGGGCCAAGGCAGTGGGGACTGTTCCCTCACTGTTTCCAGGATGGCTTTGCAGGCTACATGAAACCACTTTGCGGGCTGTTTCTGGTGCGCGGGCCTTGTGTTTGACATGTCTGGCCTATAATTTTGGAATAACCAGCTAAATGCTATTTGAAAAGATTCTACTGATATCAGATGATTTGCCACCTCTTAACATGTTATCATTTTTCATTGATTTTGGAGGCTTAACGGTGTTTTGATTCTATGCTGTAATTGGTGCAGAGACATGCCCTTAAAAGATAACAGTTCTATCAGCATATAAACCCAAATCCTTAACCTCATGCCCATGCTAGGGCACCTGGCTCATTCCAGGTGCAGCCTGTGGTTCCACACCACCCCTTAAGCTCTTTGCACAAGCCCAGTTTTCTCTTCCTTCCTGCACATTAGTAATATGGATGCCCATCTTGCTTCCACCGGTGGGAAGCTTGTCCGGGATGGGTTATGAATCTCATAGGCCAGTTTCACTGAGTTCAGTGGCCAGCTGGAAGTTACTTATGATCACATTTTTACTGACCTGAAGCTCCCCCAATTAGGTACCCCCAGCCAGGCCACTTTGTGGCATCCCTAAAAAGAGGAAAGATGCAGATTCCAGACACACACACACCCCTTTTCTCCCGGCACAGCTCCTGCCCTCCTAAAGAAAGCTGGGACTCCAATTCTGAAGCGTTTCCAAGCTCAGTGATACTTGATCCAAGCATGTTGCTTTTAACCTTTTCCTCTACAGGCTCAAGGCTGCTTCAGATGCCTGTTTGGAGCCAAAATTAAGAGCAGACTCCTTCCCTGGCCGCTCTGGTCGGTTCCACTGCTCTCTCCATGGAGCTGCTTCGCCTGCCCGAGAGCGGCTGCCTGGGGAAACAGAGCCAGGCCCGCAGAGGCGGTGTCCAGCTGCTGCCTCCCTCGGACGGCCTTCCCAGGAGCAGCAGCTAGTTCGGCCCTCTCGGCTAAGGAGTCACTCCCGGACCTTTTGGCACCCAGGAGCAAAGAAAAGGGCACCTGAGCTCCGGAGCCCCCGCCCGCCACATGGGGCAGCCTTCTGAGCTGGAGCCTTTGTGCCGGGCACGCCAATCCGAGGCCAGAGGTAACCTCGCTCGGGGCAGTAAATCCTCGGTCGCCCTCGGCGCTGTCATCGGGCTGCCTCGCTCGCTCTCCCACATAGCCGCCCAATGGCCGCCTGCCCGGCTGAACAGCCTCCCTCTGCGTGCAGCCAGCGGCCCGACTGCCCACTCCGATTGTCTCCAAGCTCGGGCAATCATCCTCTTTATCCTCCCTTGTGGGAAGGGGCACTCCGGACAGGTGGGCCTTGGCAGGCGCCCACCCACAGGACGGGACAGGAGAGGGGGGTTCTCCAGGTCCAACCGCCCAGGGAGGGGAGCAGATTGGAAGGGAAGTCAAACCAGGGCATTCTTCCTCATTCCCGCCCTCTAGAAACAGCCCCCCTCCCATCAGCAGAGATAAAGCTGAGAGGGCAGATGACACCCTTCAGATGGTAAAGGGAGGGTGGGTTTTGTGAAAGGGGCCCCTTCCTTGCCTGAAATGGAGCCCCCAATGCCAGGGGCAAAGGGGCGCCTTGTGGAAGGGAGGGGGAGGAGCTGCTAGCGGGTGCCAAGGCTGGGCTGAATGGCTGGTGAGTCTCCCAGGCTGGATCTCAGGGGAGCTTTTCTATCACAGCCATGGTGTTGGCAGGTGTGTGTGTGTCTGTTTCTGGGACCAGACACTCGGTAGCCAGAGCCAAGGCCTGCTGGGCACAAACCTGCATGGTCTGGTGTGGCCCTCACAAACCCCCTCCAGGAACTGGCTCCATCCTCTCCCAAAGAAGGGTTGGACACAGGCTGATCTTGTGCTCCTCATGCAAAAGCAGCAGGCCAGGAGGAGGCTGCCCAGGCAGGACTGGTCTCCTCCCAACTCCTTCTGGAGCAGACTGTTCCAGCCCATCCTTAAAGGAGTCCAAACCAGATAAGGCAGAGAAGCCGGAGGTGCATTCTGTTCTCCTGCAATCCTCTCAAGATGTCCTACACAAACCAATCCTCATCTAGAGTGGCAGAGAGGGTCCCTGAAATTCACCACGAAGGGGGACCTGGACTCATTTGTGGAGCGGCAGGAGCCCACAAAATACCATCGGTTTGCAGAGCTTCCTGGGCTTTGGGCCCAGAATGGAAGCTCCGTTTCGTTCTCAAGGACCAACAAGCTTCATTCACGTCTAACAGCTGCATTGTCTCTTCGTTTCCCCTTTAGGTCTGCTGCAGTTTTGCTGAAGAACCTCCAAAACAAAACAGTTCACAATCCAAGTCGAACTCCCCCCCCCCCCCAAACCAAGGAAAGCAAGCCAGCAATCTTTGCGAGAAGCCATGACCAGGCTCAGGCTGAGCTACAACTGGGAGCCGCACAGAAATCTCGACAGGCAGCTTCAGTTTTGAAAGACAATCGCTGGTTTGTGTCCCAGCCTGCGATTGGAGCCAAGCCAAGCCTTTCTCCACAGGGGGTTCCCTTCAGCACAGACACCATTTTGCAGGGCCTGAAATGGCTCCCATGCAGAGCAGCTCTCCTCTGACAGGGGAAATGCAACTTGGCCTTCGTGGGACTTCGACTACCCTTCTCCCTTGCAGCACTCCTGCACACACCTCTAGTCTATCCCCAATTGTTACTCTTTCCTCTACCATTCTTTCTCGCCTCTCCTCTGGCTGCCTTTGCCCAGCTCTTGGCATTACACAATGCCTTCCTTTCCTCCTTTCTCAATTATCTTTCCATTCTTTTGGGAGAATGAGGCAGAGCCTTGTTCTCTCCTCTGTCCCTTGCTCTGGCAGTGCCCAGCTAGCCCGCCCAGTTTCCCCATTTTATGCAATCACAATCCAGTCACTTTTCCTGCCAGTCTTCAAATGAAGTTGACCCACAACACGTCCTCTTCTTTTCCTTCTCTTTCTACACTTTCCCCAATTCCTCTTGGATTCCGTCTCCTATTCAGTCATATCCTTCCATTGCTCTAGGCCACATCCAAATGCCCTCCCGTTTCCTTCCTTTCGCTTAGTCAAAGACCCAGGTTTCAAATCTACAAAGAACCAGCCACATGAGTTGTTTTATGGCTTTTTAGAGGTCAGTCATTCTGCTTGTCAAGGGGTATAGACTCTTAGAAAGTATCTGTTTCCCCACATTTATTCCAGTTTTTGCTCTCATCCTGTTTTGTACTTTCAGAGATCTCTACTTGTTGTCCTTTCTGAATTTTATTCATACAAGTGTATATCCACTGTAACCTTGGCTTCTGGTTAGTCCAGCTACAGCTGGTGGATCCAGCAGCAGGATTTTCAGGCTAAACAGATTTTGCCTGTAAACAGAGATTAGCCTGCTAGGAAATGAGTGGTGGACACTGGCTGCAGCCCTCACTTCACAAAGTCCACTGTGGCTGTTCCATAAATGATTACCTTTTTGGAATCTAACCTCATTTTCTGAGACTGAGCAAATACTTTTCTCCAACAGAGGCTTTATCAGGGTCAAAATATCTAATTGTCTTTTCAGACCTGGTGACGACTCCACTGGTTTCCTCGACCGACACTGATTCTCATCTCTCAGTGCCATTTTGCAGGCGTCCCTTTGCGAGCATTTTAAAAGGAGGACCCTGCCCATTTCCCTCTGTCCACCTGGTGGGAATGTGAGGGGCATGCCGGATTTATATGAACAGGAGTGCCTGAAGGACTTCGGAAGTTCAGCGCTTTCTTTGCAATTCTCCTCGCTTGTCGCAAGCAAATGATTCTGTTGTGTATTCCTTTTCCTTTCATTCAAACATCTCCTCCTTTAAAATCTCTTCTTTTCAACCTTTCTGCCAGCAGCTGCAGGTTCTCTCCTTGCCACATGAGCCTCCTTTTCTGACTGCCAGGCCTTACCAGCTGCTTCTGCTTTCTGGCCAGTTTGCACATTCCTTGCTTCTAGGGATCCAGGTGTGGCCCCATACACACTCTTGACATGCTGGGTCCTTTGGACCTGAGGTCCCTCCTCAAACTCTTCTCTGCACATTCACTACACACGGGTCATCTGGCAGTCGGAGGAGGGGGTCAAGTCTCCACTTTCATGGCGTCCCAGCATTTTCTTGAATTACGTTTAGTCATTTTCACAAACGTTGTGAGAAGGAAGTTCTGTGAGGGAAAGGTGAGAGCGAGGGAACCCCATGGCCTGCCTCCCCCGGCAGCAGCTCAGCCTCTTCCAGAAACTCTGGGGTGGGGTGGGGGGGCTGAAGATGTGCCAAAACCTGCACTGGGTTGGCACCGAAGGCGGAGAAGTTCTGGGGTCTATAATGATGACGTAGAACCAAATTTAAACCAGTTGATTCTCCCTTCCTAGCACGGCACAACAAACAACCTGAACAAGCTTTTTTTTTTTTTTAGAAATTTCCTGCAACATGTGAACTGAGCCAGCTTCGGCCTCCCTCATATTTTTGCCACACAAGATTTTGGGCCTCTAGTGCAGTAGTCCCCTCACAACCTACCTCCCCGTGGGCCGATGTACTACATCCACAGCCAGGTGCTGCTGAGCCACCTGGTGTCCAGCCCCCAGCCCCAGAGTCTCCTTCCCCACCACCAGAGGAGGAGGAGCTGGGTCGCAAAGGAGAGAAATGGGTGGCACACCAAGGTGCAAGTCCAGGGCACAGCGAACTCTGTACTCCAAAACCCATGAATCACAGCCGAGTGGGCAGGCGCCCCCCCCCTTGCAGGCGTGGTGAGAGAAAGGGAGAAGCTGGATCAGATCAGAAAGGGAGGGGGCTTCCCATACCCAACCGGGCAGTGCAGCAGCAAACACCGTTTGCCCTCCCTGCTGAAGGCGAAGCTGCCTGGCCCCAACCTCCCTTTCCTGGCTTTTCTGTGGCGCCATTAGGCACAGGAGACCCCACCCTCTTTGGCGGGGGGGGGGCGGGGGGAGGCCAAGGCAGAGAGCAAAAGGGTCAGACAAGCCAGCGCTGCGTCCAACCTCCTACTACGGTAGGTGCCATGCACTAAAATAAGCGTAACGCTTACCATGCTCGTTAACACCCTAGAAGTCATTCCTCTGAATGAACAAGGCGGTTTTAAAAGGAAGGCGGAGGAAAGGCGACACCCACAATTGCTTCTGCTTCTGTCTGGGCAGCCACGGCCAGCCGACCAGGGCTCCGGCCGGCTGACAAAGCAGCGGCCGCGGGGGGAGCCAGCCTCCTTGCCACGGGGCGGTCCCACCGGAGGCACTTGGCGTCAAGCGCTCCTATCGCCTCCTGGCTGGATAAAAGCAAAAGCAATTCTTTTAAAACCAAGGCCGTATCACGAAGCCCCCTCCCACCCCTGGAGGGAGCAACACCAACCCGACGTGGGGAGACGAATCTCCCGGAGCTGCAGCGAAGCGCCGCCCGGCAGGATCGCCCAACGCGCAGCCCGGGAAAAGTCGGATGGCGAGAGCAGAGCGCGAAAAGCCCCGCCCGAGACGCCCCTCGGGGCTGACAACCGGGCCCTTCGGCGGAGCTCTCCGCAAGGCAGCGGGGCCTCCCCTGACCAGGGCAGCCGGGCGGGCTGGGCGTCGGGGCAGAGCCGGGGCAGGTGCGCGGGGGAGCTCCGGGGCATCTGCCGTCCGCCTGCCCAGCTTGGCTTCCCTAGTCCCTCCAGGCCGACCCCAACGGGACCACCGGGAGAGGCCGGCCGAGGCAGCGACAGCGCCCGGCCGTCCGCGGAGAGAGAGAGGCGACGCGCCGGCAGCGCCGCTTCCCCGCCCGGCGGATCCGGTGCCGTCCGAGCGAACCGGCCTCGGCCCGGCGGAACGCAGCAGCGGAGATTGCCCGCGGCGGTCCGTCCTCTCGGCCCCGCGCCCGCCTGACGGCCGCCCGACCTTCGCGCCCCGGCCCTGCGCACCTCCGTCCGGCCCGCGCCGCGTCCTCCGTCGAGCGAGCGCCTCTGCCCGCCGCCCGGACCGCCCACCTCTTCCAGGCCGCCGAGGGAGGGAGCTGAGACGGGCAGCCCGCCGGGCGGGGCGGGACGAGGACGGCCGCCCGCCCTCCGAACCGCTGCGGAGCCGCCTGCTTCTACCCGACGGAGAGGGGGCGTCGGACCCCGCACAGCCGGGAATCGGGACACTCCGGGCGGAGCCGCTCCACCGCGGCCCCAGCGCCTCTGCCAAACAGGGGGGGGGGACGGAGGCAGACCCCGGATCTGCTGCCGGCAAGGGGGGGGGGAGAAAGAGGGCCCGGCGGGCTCCGCGGCGCGGGAAAGCGTCTTGTGGGGGCAGCGATTCTGGGCGGAGGGGTCATCTCAATAGGTTTGCCGCCCCCCCCCCCCGCTAACTGGAGCCTTCTATTGTCCAACGCCGGATTGCAGCCCGTTGTTCCTGAAAGATTCTTCCCGTTCATTTGTATTCCCGGAAAGGAAAACCGGGAAGCCTCCTCCCCCCAGCCCCAATCGAGGGGCTCCTCCCGCTCGGCCTACCGTGGGCGCCTCGGGGCTCTGGAGCTTAGGCAAGGGCGCCACCTGCTGGAGGAATACCTGGGTGTCTCTTGAAATAGGACAGGTGTTTCGAGAGGGACTCTGGAATCTGCCTGCTCAAGCAAGCTGAGAAGCACACCGGAGGCACCTGACATACCTGGGACTGCTTTCGGGACCCCGTTGCCCTCCTTCCTAGGAGGCCCTACTCTGAGCCTGCTCCTGGGATGACAGGAAACCTGGCTGTGACTTTCAGGGTGACCTTGGGTGCCTATATCACCCTAGGCGAGGCTTTATTTATTTGATCAGCTCAGACCCACTCACTGCCACAACCAGAATGGCAGATTCTGAAGATCTGGCAAATAATGAAGCAGACCCGTTTGCCCCTTCCCAGCCTTCAAATCAGCCCTTCCCAGCCTAATTTAGTTGGGGCTCTTGGGGGAGGAGCAGAAGGAGGAGGCAGAACCTTGCCAAGCAAGGTTCTGGATTATCTCACTTTGCAAAACTAGTTTTGTCTTTTTAAAACTTACCTCGCTAGAGCATAAAGATCGCTGAGGGGGGAAAGTAAAGAAGGCAGTTTTAGCTGCATGGCCCCCATGGTGTTGAAGGGTTGGGCAGCACAATGAAGGCACCGCAGTAAGACAGAGAAGGATGCTTGGTTTCACCGATTGACAGCCTTCACACAACTTGGCTCAGGGACAACCTCCTTGTGTCATTGCTCACTGATTGACAGTAAAGACAGACATCATGGCAACTTAGCTCCCTTGTATTCTAAGCTATCGTTTGGATTCTGGTGTTGCTAGGATGAGAACCCTAGAATTCTATTTCAAGCTAGCTCTGAATCAGATCTTTTCTCTAGAAAACCCTTTCAGTTGTACTCGATTGGGATTCTCAGGACAGCTTGTTTATATGATCAACAACCCCAACTGACAGCCAATCTTGCCTGTCAGGGTGCAACTCTGGATGCTCCAGGGAGATTCCACAGCAGCCCTGAAAGACGAAGCATCCAAAGGACCCCAGGGAGTCTGCTTACTGCAAATCTCAAGCATCCTTAGGCAGCTGGTAACACCCCCAACATCTGTAACGCGCAGAGTTGGGAGGTTGAAGGCTGGTCCAGACACTTTCTGTCTTCATCTCTTCCAAGCCAGCAAGGAATCAGGGAATGGATCTGTGATGGTGTTCATTAGTTGCTTCCAGAGCCTTGGATTTATAAATACTACTGAGGCAGGGAAGTTTGACTGGTGGCCATTTCTTATGGATTTGGGGCCTTTTGAGCTTTATGTTTCATACTACAAGCAACCTGTATGGAATTGGTGATATATAAATATAGTAATAATTAGTGAATGGAGCCCCTAAGCAGCACTTGAGGGCAAGTACTATTTCCTGAGGCAGACTGGATCCCACAGCCATTGTGGATCACCTCATTTGCAAATGTCCTCTGCCTGCTCTTACAAGGTTTATTCCATTAATAATAATTATTATTATTATTAATAATAGTAAAGTTGGAAGGGACCTTGGAGGTCATCTAGTCCAACCCCCTGCTCAGTCAGGAAACCCTACACCATTTCGGACAAATGGCTGTCCAGTCTCTTCTTAAAAACTTCCAGTGTCGGAGCATTTACTGCTTCTGGAGGAAGGTTGTTCCACTGATTAATTGTTCTCACTGTCAGGAAGTTTCTCCTTAGTTCTAGGTTGCTTCTCTCCTTGATTAGTTTCCACCCGTTGCTTCTTGTCCTGTCTTCAGGTGCTTTGGAAAATAGCTTGATTCCCTCTTCTTTATGGCAGCCCGAGATATTGGAATACTGCTATCATGTCCCCCCTTGTCCTTCTCTTCGTTAAACTAGACATACCCAATTCTCGCAACCGTTCCTTATATGTTTTAGCCTCCAGTCCCCTAATCATCTTTTTTGCTCTTCTCTGTACTCTTTCTAGAGTCTCAACATCTTTTTTACATCGTGGTGACCAAAACTGGATGCAGTATTCCAAGTGTGGCCTTACCAAGGCATTGTAGAGTGGTATTAATACTTCACGTGATCTTGATTCTATCCCTCTGTTAATGCAGCCTAGCACTGTGTTGACCTTTTTGGCAGCTGCAGCACACTGCTGGCTCATATTTAGGTGATTGTCTACTAGGACTCCGAGGTCCCTCTCATAGTTACTACTATTGAGCATGGTGCCACCTATGCTGTACTTGTGCATTTAGTTTTTCTTGCCTAAATGTAGAACCTTGCTTTTTTCACCATTGAATTTCATTTTTTTAGTTAGTGCCCAGTATTCAAGTCTGTCCAGATCTTTCTGTATCTTAAGCCTGTCTTCTGGAGTGTGGCTATTCCTGCCAGCTTGGTGTCATCTGCAAATTTGATGAGTTCCCCATCTATCCCTTCATCCAAATCGTTGATGAAGATGTTGAAGAGTACTGGGCCCAGAACAGAGCCCTGGGGCACCCCACTACACACTTCCCTCCATATAGATGCAGTTCCATTGAGGACTACTCGCTGAGTACGGCCAGTCAGCCAGCTACGGATCCATCTGGTGGTGATTCTGTCTACCCCACATTTTTCTATCTTATCAAGTAGTAGGTTGTGATCTACTTTATCAAATGCCTTACTGAAGTCCAAGTAAAATACGTCCACAGCATTCCTCTGATCCACTAATTTTGTCACTTGGTCAAAGAATGCAATAAGGTTTGTCTGGCATGATCTATTTTTGACAAACCCATGTTGGCTTTTAGTAATGACTTTGTTTGCCTCTAGGTGCTCGTTGATTCGTTGTTTGATTATCTTTTCCAGGATCTTCCCAGGTATTGAGGTCAGGCTGATAGGTCTGTAATTTCCTGGATCCATTTTTTTTTTCCTTTTTTGAGGATGGGAACTACATCAGCTCTTTTCCAGTCCTCTGGTAGTTCCCCTGTGTTCCAGGATCTTTGAAAAATATAGTTCAGTTATTTTTGAAAAATTTGCATCTTATACAGATATCAAATATAATCTATGGATTATAATTTTTTTGGCTTCTGTATACATTTTTTTGGTATTATTTTTAAATTGGTTTTATAATTGTTTGCGCCTAGGAACACCTGATTGATATAAGTGACCATATAAATTGAAAGAATAAATAAATGTGGCAATGGAGTGGGAATAGCAATTTGCATGCAAATGAAACCAAAGGGGAGGCAACCTCCACATTTTGTTCTCTACCTGGTCCCAAACGCAATCTCTGGAAGAATCTTGGGCCATTTTGTCTTGAGGTCCATAGTTTCTTCTCCTCTACCCTGCCCTTGCGCTTCACTTGAATTGGGTGTAAAGTACTTGTGGCCAACCTCCCCTGGCCCTCCTGCTCTGCTCCCTGCTCTCTCCCATTCCTGGCCCTCCTCTTGCCTTGCCTTTGCCTGGAAAGCTACGTCCCTCCGTGAGCTTTTCCTCCGCGTGTGGATTTGTCTGAACTAGGCCTGTGCGCTGGGCATGTTCCAGATCGTTTAAAGCAGCAAACAGAGAAGCAGTGTAAATCTAGAGAAAAAAATTCAGCATCCTTGTTAATTGTAATTTAAATGGGGAATGGCTTCATGTCACTTTTTAAACACTAAAATTAATATGGCTTTAAATCACTTGGCATGTCCATTTAAACTTCATTCTTTCTATTCATGGGCAGATAAGGATTTGCCCCAAATAGACAACGGCATAAAAATTGTTAAAGATTGTCTGAAAACAATAAATACAAAAGGATGGGACATTTATTGCTACATAAATGTTATATACATAGTGTTTTCTGTTACATTGATAAAAAAAATGTTGAACCTGTTGCTGTCAAAAAGGTTTATCTGTAATATCTTAAAATTTGACACAGGGTACAAATTTGCAATAAACCAACATATGGAAATTGAATAACAAGATGAGAAGCAATTCATCTTGGATAAATAGCTCTTACAATACTCCATAAGGTACTACACAGGATGCTAGAACTCTACTATGCTCTTACAATGCTATTGTAAATTTCTGACATTAATGAATAGGTTATGGTTAAACAACCTTACATTTCTTACTACCTAATATAGTAAAATAAAGTAAGAAATTTTTTACTGAAAACATTTTTTTTATTTCAAAAATCTAGAAAGAGTAATATTTAGAATTCAAGAAACTTCTTACAAGATTATTGTATAAAACACTAGCTACAGTGAAAAATAAGCCAAATGCTCTCTTGGTTTTACAAGGGAAGCTTTAGGGTGCACTGCACACATCCTGCACAGCCGAACAGAGCCAGGAATTCACCAGCCAGGAGGCAAAGTCCACTGGCTGGGGAACACTGAGGAGGTGGCAGAAAAGGGCCACAGACACTTGCCCAGGATCACTTTAGGACAGCTGCTTAACAAACCAGCATATGTAGGAAGCATCTGAAAGACATGCCCTCTTTGTAGAAGGGAGCCAGTTAGAGCCACAACACCCTCAAAGCAATTCAAGTCTTGTGAGAGAAGCTTGCTTAGGATATCGGGGCAGTGCCACGGCGGCGGGTCTCTCTCTGGGCTGCTACAATGGAAGACAGTGTTCACGGAAGTTCAAAGAAGGAGGAATTGCCCAGAGAGAGGGCCTCCCTGCTATGCACTCGGCAAAGGCAACTGACCAGGAAGGAGGCAGCCCCCTTCTCCACAGGGAAGCTAGAATCAGGGCACCCTGGACTGCACTTCTCTCATCCCAGGCCAAGACTTCAACCCAGGTTGTGCTTAGGTCTGCTGGGCTTGTCCTTACAGCTCCAAGACAATTCTAGATGGGATTCTTCTTCACCCAACAACAGTCCCATTGGAAGCCTTAGGAGGGAGCCATTTGAGAATGCAAAAGGCCAGGGGCTGTGCATCAAGAAGAAGGCTGCCTGCTGGCCTGTGCTCCTCAAGATCAAGATACCTACCTGGGAAATACATGTCCAGAGGGAGGGGAGCTGGTGCATGCCCTTGTCCCTTCTTCAAGACACTTGTAGGTATGGTGGAATGTGAAGGGTCAGTGGCATGGTGGCTTCATTCTCAAAATGCACTTCTCAATATCAGTATCTCAACCAAGCTTTAAACAGATCAATGTTTCCCTTCATACGGTGGATCTTTATAGTTCCATTACAAATAATGTTTTATAGTTACAATTCATTTGTCAATTCGGTTTAGGCACAAGGCAGTTTCCCCACCAAGTGGAGAGGAGATCAGAGTCTCTGATTGTGCTGGAGCGACAGGAGAACTACAAGGAAGAGGAGGAGAGGTGCTGCTGTCTGTGGGGCGGAAATCCTGCTGGAAGAAAAGCCTGGTGCTCTCGCTCTCTCTTCTGGGGCAACCGGCCATTTTTCTCAAAGGGCCACTTCTGGACAGGTTGTTTCTCCGGCAAGATGGTCCTGTTTAATGCTGTGTTGAGTGTCCTTGTGAACAAAAGATCCCCTCTTCTTGGTCTCTTCCACAGGGTTCTGGATTCTGATCTGGACATTAAAAGGGCAATGTTGAAGCACTGACAGGTACAGGGCACAGTGGGAAAGAGCCAAGTGGCCTGGACTCTGGCTTCTGGACCGGAGGATCTGCTTCCGGTGGAGCCGGTTCTTATTCTGAGCACCATAATCTGAGGTGCCAGAGCTGCGCTGCCTCACCGACCCCCAACAAAAGCCATACACTTTGCCGAGTGTGACTGTTGGTTTTAATAAATTGTGCTGGTAATCTTGGACTAAAGTAGTAAAGGATTCCAACACACAGTCTAGGTTTTGTGATGCTGTAATTCAACTTAACACAAAGTGTAACTGACAGGGTTTTGGTATACCCTGTGTGCCCATCAACATCCATGTCAGCCCCCGCAGACATAAAAACGTCACCTCACATACGTCCCATTGGATTGGCAGTTTCACTAAGCGCTGGATGGCTTCCTGGATGGGGGGGGTGGGGGTTCTGCTGATACAACAGACCTCTTTTCCTCTTCCCTTCGCTTAAGGCAAGCTGCTTTGGGGTTCAGGTTCCTCTCTAGAAGTAATGACAGAAAGAAACAGGAAATACCTCTTTAAGATGCTAGCACTGGAGCAACATTGAAGTCAAGCCTATGGCTGGGGGCAGGATGTGCAGAAAACCTCTTACATGTTATGCCTCTTCAGCTACACTCTTCCAAACTGCCCCCTCCCCACATGCAGTTGTCTGTGGGAACTCCTGGCTTCTGCTCTTTGGAATCTCTAGTGGGGTATGACCCATTCTTGTAGTAAACAAGGAGCCTTTCTATTTAAAAGTGCATTTTCAATGGGACGAGTTTATAGCCCACTCTTCCTTCAAAGAGCTCAAGGCTTGTTTAAATGCTTCTCAACCGTCCCACGAGGAAGTCAAGCAAGGGAAGGTGACTGATGCAAACCCAGACAGTCTCAGATTAAGCAAGGATTTGAGGGTTCGGGATACAAGCTGTCACACCCAATCCTCCAAGAGAAAGGCTCTGAAAAACTGGCCGTCTTTTTCCATAGACAGTTCACAATTCTTATGTCTTTACAAGATCCCTGAGGCAGGGAAACAGAATAAAATTAGGTCCCTACTGTTAGCAGAAGTGATGAAATGAGTGAGATGCCAGTGCTTCAGATCCCTGAGTGGATACTACTGCTGATACCATCAGCATCTCATTTATATATACATCCTGGAAATGCTCAGCTGAGAAAGCACCACAGCTGATCCAGCTGGTTCCCCGGAAGAAAGAAGAAACACCCCTTTGAGTAGGAAGTAGGTGATTTTGATGTCAGCTGTGTCATTTCTGGAATAAAAAAGCTTGCCTATTGGAAGTCAACTGTCATTTCAGTTCCACCAAAGGAGGAGAGTATAAATAATTTTATAACTTGACCTCTAGAAAGGATTGTTCAAATCTGAAATGGACAAAATATGGATTTGTTACTACAGATTAACTTTATTTTCAGTTGAAGCTATTGAAATCAGGAAAATCATGTAAGAATCAAAATAATGGACTAGACAAAATATGATTTTTAAAAAAGTGCCTGTTTACAACACAAGGCTCTGGAGGTAACGCAGAGACGTGTGAAGATGCCTGACAAAGGCTGGCATGGCATCCCAAAAGACAGTAAATGCAAAGCTAAATTCTAGATTGTTTTTTCCTGTGACTATAAAATAACCCCAAAAATAAATGAATGTTCAACTTCATCCCTTCTCCCCTTTATGTTTCTATTTTCAAATATAGGCAATATTGGACAGTGTGATGGAACATTTGGAAAAACAGTTGTAGTGTTAAAAATCTTGGAGAAAAAATCTATGAAAGCATAATTGCTGAATCTGAGGCTGCCAAACTCAAGGCTGTAGAAAGGAAGCAACTTGCTTAAATTCCAGAAAATCCTAGTGCTGTTTTCCACCATCAGGAGGACCATCACACAATTCCATGATGGAACCATGCAGGCCCATGGAGGTCAGGCTTGGCCAGTCTGAAGACAACCCTAATTGTTGTGTGCAGGAGGGCTGGGCTTCGCACATCCAGATGCTAAAGGTAGGCAAAGATCTATGCACTGACAACCCTGAAGTAAACTAGCCCTAAAAGATGGCAAATTATGATGTGAAGAAAACAAGTTAATAGAGGAAAAGAGAATGAGAGGAAGGCGAGACGGCTCTGGTTGGGCAAAGTTCTCTTTTCCTCTTTTCCACAGAAATAACTCCCAGCCTGCCCCCCCCCCCCAGCTTTTAGCCTGCGATGGAGCGCAGACAGTACTTGCCTTCAGGGGCAATAGAAACCTCCAGCCCCAGCTCACCTCGGACCTGCTGCTCCAGGCTGAGGATGACAGCCACGGCCTGGTGAAGGATCAGCAGTTTGGTCTGGGGCTTTTCACTCTTTAGGTGCAGCTGGCACATCCGGCCCAGCTCCTTGAAAGCTTCGTTGATGTCCCGGACACGCAAGCGCTCCCGGGCATTGTTGGCCATCCGCCGCTCCCGCTCCCGCTCCAGCTTCTGCTCTGGGTTTAGTTCTTCATCTTCGTTCATGCTGCTTTTGAAACAAAGACAGGAAAGGCATTGAGAGAAAATTTTGTTCTTCCACATTCGCACAGATTATCGCCTTGCCTATGACCGGCTGGATTTTTTTTGAAGCAGTAAACAATTTCATGCTTAGATCTGCAGAAAAGCCACTGGGGGTGCATTTTCTGCAACAAACACTATGCTTTTAGTCTCCAAGGGGTTGCTGTGCCTGCTCTGCTTCTCACAAGAATGGGCACAAATTCACAGCCTGCCTGGTTATACGGGGGAGATATCTGGCCACTATCGTTCACTGATAATATGATAAACTCTTGCCCTTTACTAGTAGTCAACCGTGTAAGCCAAACTTTTTAAGATTTAGCAATGTGCTGCTTTGTTTGGACAGCAAGTACAGCCAGGTAATCACACACAAGCCCTTCTGATCTGGATCAGATGGTCCAGGAGCTTTCAGAAGTGACAGTAGACTGGGCAATCCTCATCTTACATCCATTCAATCAGCAATTGTTCAAAGTTATGGTGGCATTAAAAAGATGGATGTACAACCAGCGTAGGTCTGGCCAATACAGACGTCCCATGATTGTGATCTGGGCCCTGAAGGGAGCTGCGGTCATAAGATCGCTTCTCTCAAGCAAAGCAGGTAAGATCGCAAATAGCTCTAGTCTCTTCTGTTTTTTCTCCCACCGTAGCAACCCACTGCATGCATACCAGCTCTCCCCTGACCTCTCCCTACCAGCATCCCCTCCACCCCCATTGCTCGTTACTTGAGACTCCTGCCTCTACCCATTTAACAACTTGCATGTCTTGGGGTTACAATAGCCACCGGGATTGCTGTCACTAAGTGATGCGGTCACGTGATGTCATCTTTTATGACCACCTCATAATTTAACAACAGCAATTCCAGTCCCTAATGTCATTGTAATCCAAGGACTACTTCCACTAAACTTAAGAAGGAAACCTGACCATCATTCCATCCCGACAATCTGCCTAGATCCAGAAAATGGCCACTTTCCAGCCTGATGCCCAAACCTCAACCCCAAGGGTAACCCCCTCTACCTCTTCTGCTCATTCTGATTCAGACAGACCCCTTGATTTCTGGGATAGGAGGAAAGAAGCCAACATACCTCATCCTGCCTCTGGAGGAGGTTTTGATATCCTTCTGGGAGGACTCGTCATCAGATTTCATGTCATCGGAGGACGCGGGTTCCTGTGCATTGTCCTCCTTCTCCTTGTGCTCTAACTTGATCTGCAGCGGACCTAGGGCTACCGATGGGGTTGGCAACCCAGCAGGCAGCCCTGCAAGGAAACCCAATAAAGAGCAACATAGCCTATTTTATTTATTGGTAAGATTTATATGGGTGCCCAGTCACTCTCAGTGACTCTGGGTGTCAGAATCCAATTATATTTCATCACGTGAGATCACGTGAAGTATTAATACCACTTTACAGTGCCTTGGTAAGGCCACACTTGGAATACTGCATCCAGTTTTGGTCACCACGATGTAAAAAAGATGCTGAGTCTCTAGAAAGAGTACAGAGAAGAGCAACAAAGATAATTAGGGGACTGGAGGCTAAAACATATGAGGAACTGTTGCTGGAATTGGGTATGTCTAGTTTAACGAAGAGAAGGACGGGGGGACATGATAGCAGTGTTCCAATATCTCAGGGGCTGCCACAAAGAAGACGGAGTCAAGCTATTCTCCAAAGCGCCTGAGGGCAGGACAAGAAGCAATGGATGGAAACTAATCAAGGAGAGAAGCAACCTAGAAATAAGGAGAAACTTCCTGACAGTTAGAACAATTAACCAATGCTCCAACACTGGAAGTTTTTAAGAAGAGACTGGACAGCCATCTGTCCAAAATGATGTAGAGTTTCCTGTCTGAGCAGGGGGTTGGACTCGATGACCTCCAAGGTCCCTTCCAACTTTATTATTATTATTATTGTCCAAAGAGAAACATGTCAACCTAGTCAGAGCGGTTTTAAAGAAACTGTGAGCTGCCCACCTGTATAACAAATTACCGAAATGCAAATTCCACCAGAAAAGAATAGACTACCTGGGTTATCGCATATCCCCACAGGGCATTGAAATGGACCCAGAGAAGGTCAGAGCAGTATTAGAATGGGCACCACCCCGCACAAGAAAGCAACTGCAAAGTTTCCTGGGCTTCGCAAACTTTTACCGCCAATTCATCCCCTCATTTGCCCAGATAGCCCTGCCCCTCACAAACTTACTAAAAACGAAGGGAGCATCCTCAGTAAAACCTAGCCAGCCACTAACATGGACAATGGAGTGCCACGCAACATTTGAGAGATTAAAGAGACTTTTTTCTGTCAAACCAGTACTGAGGCATCTAGACATGGATAAGCCCTTCGTAATACAGGTGGATGCAAGTGATGTGGCAGTGGGGGCTGTACTATTACAAGAAAACAATGAAGGGATATTGCAACCCTGTGCGTATACATCCAAGAAACTCACAGAAACAGAACAGCGTTGGCCCGTGTGGGAGAAAGAGGCATACGGGATACGTTGGTCATTACTCACATGGCGCCAGTTCCTTGAAGGCAACAAAATCCCTTTCTAGGTGTGGACAGACCACAAAAATTTGGAAGCCCTGAAAACACCCAGGAAGCTCAAACCCAAGCAAGCCTGCTGGTCCCAGCATTTTCACCAGTTCCAATTTACGCTCAAGCATTTGCCGGGGGAAAAGAACTTCCTGGCAGATGCACTGTCTCGCATGCCCCAATATAACAGCACGCGAGCCAGCGACTCTAAACCGATGATGGTAGAATCACAACTGGCAGCGCCAGTAACCACCAGAGCCCAAGCTAAATTAAAACCATAGCTGGGCAGCCAAACCGGAATTGAATTCCAGAAAAGTTTGAAAACAGATGGTTCCAGAAAAATAAACACGTGTGCACCATGATAGACAGGCTACCTTGGGTAGGGGAAAAGTTATATATACCAACAACCCATTCATGCAGCTTTGCCACAACACAAAATCAGCAGGGCATTTTGGATTTGTAAAAACATTACACTAAATTAAACGGCAATTTTGGTGGCCATCCATAAAAAAGGACATAGAAAGTTACGTGGCCAGCTGCCCAAAGTGTGCAACTGCAAAGAGCTTGCAAGGGAAATCGCCCGGACTGTTACAAACAGTGGCAAATCCCTCAGCCCCCTAGAGGGAAATAGCCATGGATTTTATAGTGGAATTACCAGAAAGCAATGGGAATACTGTGGTCTGTACGGTCACAGACTTGTTTTTCAAACAGGCACACTTTATCCCTTGCCAAAAGATTCTCACTGCAAAAGCCTTAGCAAAACTTTTCGTCCAGGATATTTACAGATTGCATGGGGCACCCCAACGCATCATCTCTGATAGGGGAGTGCAATTTACGTCTGCATTTTGGAAGGAATTTTTATCCCTCTTAGGGATCATTCAGGGACTGACATCTAGCCATCATCCACAAGGAGATGGACAAACAGAATGGGTTCACTCAGTACTTGAGCAATATTTAAGATGCTTTATTGATTTCCAACAGTCCAATTGGACGGACCTACTCCCTTTTGCAGAAGTGGCTTACAATAATGCAGTCCACTCCAGCACAGGTTACACTCCTTTTCAAATAGCCACCGGTCAAAGTTTCAACCCCATGCCAGAATTAACCCCAAACGAACCGGCGATCCTATCACTGAAAGAATGGATGGAACAATTATAAAACACCTGGCCAATAGTTAGAAAAGCACTAGATGAAGCTAGGCAGGCATATCGATAAAAAAAGGGTGGAGCCTACACTATTCATTATAGGAGAAATGGTGTACTTATCTACAAAATACCTAAAGTCCCTACAACCCTGTAAAAAACTTGGACCAAAATATATAGGGCCTTTTCCAATTAAAAGAATCATAAACCCAGTAACAGTAGAATTAGAATTACTCAAAAATCTCAGGCAAATACCCCCAATTTTTCATTGCAGCTTGCTGAAAAGAGAGCATCAGTCATCGTTATGGCCAAAAATCCCCCCCCCCACCTCCAATCATGGTGGAGGGCGAATAACACTTTGAGATAAAGGAAATCCTAGATTCTAGGAGATATCATGGAGCAACTCAGTATCTAGTAGCATGGAAACACCTCCCTGCCTCACAAAATGAGTGGGTCCATAAATGTCATGTCAGAGCCCGAAGCTATTAAAGAAGTTTCACACAGAGTATCCTAATAAGCCAGACCAACTTTTATACCTGTTTTGTTTTCAGGTGGATCTATCTTATTTTTAAGGGGGCAGGATGTCAGAATCCAATTATATTTCATCTCTACTTATCGACTATGGAAAACCCCATTTCTGCCCTCTCTGGATTCTGTCATACTATGAAGGGGAAGGGAGATGAGCAAAGGGGTTTTATGGCTCTCACTTCCTTCCTTACAACTTCAAAGGGACTGAATGTGGATATCACCAAAAGGATTAACCATAACAATAGGGCCCATCACCTTTCATGTACTCCTCTCTGAAGTCTCCCTTCTGTCGGCCGTGTTTTACAAACAATAAAAAAAACAAAATAAAAGGATAAAAAACCATAACCCTCACCCACCCCTTTAGAAGAGAGAAGCTGTGACTGTCCTCTTAATGGATGGCAGGCAAAATCAAGAGCAAAGAGAAAGTGGCAGTTCCTATGAAATAGTTCAAGGGCATATTTGAAGAGTTACAATTTGAAACTTGTTGCAGAAGTGGGTACAAGCTTTCTATAGAATGTCCAGATGAGTATGGTTTGATGAGAAACTTCTGGATATAGAACCCCAGAGAGTTCTATATCTGAAGGGAAGGCTCTATGCACACTCAGTGCCAAGAGAGAGGCAGAGGTAGAGGCAGAGAGAGAGAGAGAGAGAGAGAGAGAGAGACAGACAGACAGACAGACAGAGGAGAGGAACCCTGCAGATCTGTAAAAAGGGCTTACGGTCATTACTCATTTCCCACTAAATTTCCTGAGTGAAGAAATTGAAATGTGACTCACCTCTATAGCTTTCTTGGGTTTTATAGTGTAGTTCTGTACTCTGGGCAGGAACCGTGTTGCACAACCCTGAATGGTTGTTACTGAGGCTGACACCATCTTCCTAGACAAAGAAAGCACAGACACAGATTACCCTTCAGCCTGGAATGAGGTCAGCAAACTCCAATTAACCTGGGAAATTTTTGCCATTGTGCTGTTTGCAATCCTACAGCAGAAATCACATATGCCATGTTGGAACTCAGTGAGCAAGTGGAGGGGCTTGCTGAGGGACTCTACTCCGCGGGAGTCACCACCCACACTTTCTGCAGGAGCTGGCCTCCCAGCAGAAGCAAGATGGGCACTCTTGTTGCTGATATTTGGGAAGGAAGAGAAAACTGGGATTGTGCAAAGCACAGTATGAAGACTGGAACAGGGCATGAGAGTGTGTAAGAACCAAGCAGAGGGACCTGCCCTCTTCCAGGCGTCTCACAGGGCCCAGAGTTGTCGACTGGACCAAAACCAGGGAAGGAAGGGTGCTTCTTTGGCTTTGGCTGGTACTTGCCAATCCCCCGCCTGGCTTGCTTAGGTCTGAGGCCTAGCAGGCCGCCTGCTTGCCAGGATGAAAACGCTGAGAGGAGGGATGGGGGTGGTGGTGTTGCCATTCTAGTGGCTCTTTTTCACTGGCTCCTCTGATGATCAAGATATCAGGTTTTACCAGTAGTTTTTATATAAGCACTACCTCCCCAGATGAGTATTTATTTTATAAAGTCACACTTTCCAAACTTAGATAAAAGCTAAAATGAAGCATAATTTAACACTGGCATTAGACCATAGAGACCAGGCTAAAGATACATTATGCTTTAAATAGTTTTAAAGAGCAATAAACTACATGTCTGAAACAGTATTAGGCTTGCAGCTTATGCCCTCTGCTGACCCCTGCCCCCATCCTTAACTTGATGACTAGGCAGTTTCACCTATACAAATCTGCAACCAGCTAGTTTCAGCATGCCCCAAGATTCCTTCAAAAGAAAGAAAATGTATTCAGGGTTGAGCACAAAGACTCAGAATATCTGCAGGGAAATGGACTTCAGAAAGAAAATATACCAAAAATCATCCAGCTGATTAGAATAGACCTTGTTCTGTATGCGAATCTGATCTGTGAATTCTGCCCTTCCCCTCAAGGAAAGCTTTCAACATCTGTGCATGTGATGCATTAAGTTGTCTGCTTCATCACAGTTTTTTTCTATAGTAAAATAAATGAATAAACCATTGCTTAACACAATTAATATGAATGGAATTTTGTTGTACAAAATGACTGCTGTATTCTATCCCCTTCAGTAATCAAACAGCTGCTAATGGATTGAGGAGTTGGAATCCTGCCTTCATTATAAAATGCCCAGCTGCTATGGGGTTGCAGGCATGCAGTTTCCCATAGGGGGTACCGGTGCCCAGAGATCCCTTGGCTTGCGTGCTTGGAAAGGTGAGCTATAAATAAATAAATAAATAAATAAATAAATAAGGATACCCCTGGTCTGTGGTCTGTTCACTCGGCCAACCATTTCAGATCTGCCCTTCTCTACACTTATTCTTGTCAACTCCCCCCCCCCTCCATGTCTTGATCAATTTGGCACCTGAATAATAACTGTAACTGATCGGCCTCAGACATCCATGCACCAATTTGGAAAAGAGTGGGTCTGCCTAATAAGGAAAGATCAGAAGCTCACCATCGAGGCTTGTCTACTGGCTATGACGAGGCTGGATGTGCCGTAAGTGGCACTCAAAGTGCTAATGGGCCCATTGTGGGATAGCCGCAATAAGCCCTCCATCTCTCCGTGGGCCCCTGTCAGGCTCATCGAAGGCCCCACGGCATGGTTTCTCAGCACGTGGATGGCGTCATCGAGTCTGTCCAGGCGATCTTCCATCCGGGACTGCTGTTGGGATTGAGGGGTGCAGGAAGGTCATTTATGTCACAGAGCGGTTTATTCCATTCTATTTTCAAGCATTCTACAATGGGAAGTGGGAAAGGCAGCCAGGGAAATCTGGTGGTATCAAAAGGACTTTGAAAACAGCCAGAAGTGAACCAGCAACTATGTGAGAGGGTAACACTTCTGGCTTCAAAACAAAAGAGAGTTGAACTACAAAACTAATCTTGTTTGGTATTCTGGAATAAACTTAAAAGAAAGAAGTGAGGGGAGGGGGGGTTGAGATAGAGCAGTTTGCTTTCAGGTTTGAGCTCTTGAATCACATTTTCCTGATTTCATGCCAGCATTTATCTTGGTATATATTTATTGATTGTTCAAATAAAGTATGCAAAAGAGCATTCACATTTATAGCCTTTCTACAAGTTGAAAAGACAAACTGATGGAAGGAAGAGATGCATCAGCTGTGCCATAGTAAATGGGGTGGGCTGTTACTTGTAAAAATCTGTTAAGTAGAGTTAACAAAAAAAACCCCAAAACCCTCCAAAAGGCACCCTCTAAACAGAAATAGTACCTCACAGACATCCTTTAAGAAGGACATAGCATCTTGCAAATGCTCATGAAGTTGTTGCTCAACTCGATTTTTCTGGCAAAGTCAAGACAGAACAAGAAGCAAAGCACAAGTTAAGTAACGATAAAGAGGTGAGGTAAATAGCTGGTATGCAGGTCGGCCTCAGTTGTTAGTTAAGTTAATTTCACAAAGGTTTAATTAAACTCAAAAATAAGGGGATAAAATACTGTGCACTAAAGCAATCTCTATAGATTGCTTTTGTACATTCGTGATGGAAGGCAATAGGCAAATTACTGTATTTGTTAGCTGCATGAGAAAAATGTTACCTTGGGAGATCTTAAAGATGCAAAATGCTTCATCAATATGTACACATTATTTTTCTCTTCTGCTTCTAGACGGGATTGACAGCTTTCTACAGTAATTCCTATCATCATCTCTCCTCCACAGATGCACACCAAATATTTAGTGGGAATCCGGGAAGCAGACCACTCTTTCCTCCCCCCCCCATGCCCCTTCCACAGCTAAGTCCAAAGAACCCCGAGGCAGCAATCGGGAGCAACGGGTTCAGATTCATCCCCCTAAACTCCTTTCATGCTGATGGTCACATGACTGGATACCATGCATCCCCTTCACTCTATACACACAGTGGGTTCTCTTTATCCTTAATTTTTCTGTGCTGAAGAGCCCCACATGGTGCCTCCTTTCTTGAGTTACACCAATTGCCTTTTGGCATATTTTTAAATCCTGCAATATCCTTTGAGGCCGACGGTCCTTGAACAAAAGAGATGCTGATGTAGTAATGTAAATGGCAAGCAGAATTATACTATTTTCAACTCAATGCAGGAAGCTCCCAAAGATAAAACTCATTTTGATGTTGCAGTTTTTATTATTGCTAAATTAATGACTTTAATGAACTGCAAGTTTTCCTGAGAAAATGGTTTTGAAAGGCAACCTACACAAAAACAAGTATCTTGGTTCTGTTAGAGGAAATGAATGTTTAAATTAAAGATTTGTTTCAATAAAGCCAGCAAGCCATTTCTTGGCCAGAGTTGCTCAGCAATTCTTACCAATGAATGTAAAGAATTTTCATAGCTTGGAGATGAAGGGGCTTGTCCTCCAGTTCTTGACCACTGATCAGCATCTGTCAAAATCAACATTGCTGAAGCATGGCACATGCAGGATAAACACATCTTACTGCTGCCAACATCTTCTGATTTATAAAGAGCTTTCTATTATTTTTATATGCAGTTTGGATTGTGTTTCTTTGTGGAACCCACTAAGGACCAAGCACAGAATACTGACTGACAACTGGAAGTGGGGGGTAGAGATAACCATCCCAGAAAAGTAATGACTGGTTCCCAATATGCTGAATGGGAGCATCTTACATTACATAACAAATTTTGGACAAAGGGGCATTCATAGGTTTTCTGCACATCCTCAGCAGCTCTTTGAGGTATACTAGAGAACAGAGATCCAACAAAACAGCACAAATGCCAGAGCATATCTCTATGCTAGAAAACCAGTTCTTACAAGATTTTGAAAAAGGAAGTGGAGGTAGGGGGAAGAGGAGATGGATAGTACTTGTGAGAGATGATGGTGATCCAACAGGTGTTGAAGGATTTGAAGGAAAGCTACTGCTACTGTGGTCAGGAGAATAAATCTGAAAAAAAAAAAAAGAAATGTCACAATATAAATGTAGCCATTTGAACCATTTGATATGCTGACATCTACACGTTAAAAAAAAAATCAGCTGAACAACAATTGAAGAAAAGGAAATGCTTAGAAATATTCAGCTTGGTAACTCTGAAAATTTTATTAATGTATCTGTAATTGACCTGCCAGTAGAATATAAAATGAGAGTAGACCCCACTTCCTTCTGAGACTGATGTTACCTAGTTAGATAATGAAACTCCTGCAAGAAAACAACCAAGCTCAGAGAGCACCAAGGACTCCATAGTTCAACCCTGAGGGACAAATATTCCATTCTATCAATAACTGTAATTCTCTGTGATTCTTTCCCCAATACAGTTCCTATTGTTCTTATATAATCGTTCTCAATGCTACTGTTTACCTTAAATGCACACCTGACTAGGAACAAAATATGAGAATTTTGAACACCACCAGGATACGTCTGTGCATCCAATCACCTAACAAAGGGAAAGTTACCAAGACTGCAGCTGCAGGCTCTGAGCTGTTAACGTAGGGACTGAAAATGCCCATGTCATCCTGTTGGGATCCCCAGCCTCAAGCAACAAAGCCATTCAAGGATCACTTGGAAAAGTCAACTTCTCCAATGTTTCCCTCTCTTCTGTTTAGAGACTATGAGCCCTGAGCTATTCAAACTGTACAAGCTGCTTTCTCTGAACTGGAAATAGGAATGTAGGTCTGGACAAAGAGATTTGATATAATCAACAACATTAAAGAAAACCTTCTGATTTGATTTTTTTAAAATTAAAAACCAAATGTTTTCATTTGGCATTAAACACTGACATAAACCAGATGTAACCACGTAACCCCCTATGGGCACCATCTTAGGGGTTATTGTTTGGCAAATGTTCAGAGAGGCACATTAGATATGGTAGATATGCCCAGATTTTCTTTGCTATCTATCTACACTAGTTCATTATTCAAGCCCATGTATAATCCATTGGGCTTTGAGAGCTTTGGGTAAATATTTTCATGTACAATTCTTTCTTTCCAGCTCTAAGATTAAGATTGCAATTATCCAGGCTTAAATCTAAAACAAAAGGATCTTTGCAAACGTATTATCTGACCTTTCTTTTTTAACCATGCAGTATTTTGTAAGGAATTTGATATTTAGATTCAGAAACAAATGTTGCATCCTGTTATTTTTTTTAAAAGCACTACATCAGACACAATCTTGTTTCTGCTATTAATGACAACATTTAAAAGGGAAAGAAAGGCAGCAACTTTGCAATTTCAGGATGGTTTTATTGCTTCATCAGACAGGTTAAAGGCTAAAGAACTAAGTATGGGGATTCCTTCATTCGCATGCTTCCTTCCTCAAGAGGAGCAGAGGGCAATGAATACACATCTCCAGGTGAGGGAAAGCCCAGGATTGCTGGGCTGTAGCAAGGGCTGAGAGGCTGGCAATCAGCCACGATGGAATATTTGTGAACTGATTTGCTGACTCATGTCAAGCAGCACCAAAAAGGTGAAGGGCTTCCTTATCTTCTGGTTATGCAAACTGCTTGGTTTCCAGCACACACTAAACTCCTCTCTTCAGCCCCCAACTGTACACATTTGTACTAGACTCTTAGCAAACTGTGGCTGCATCCAAAGTTACCAATCTCCCTCCCATTTCTTTGTCATACAGACCTTCTAATGAAACCAACTCCTCCTTTGTGGAGGAAGCCCACCCCAGGAGGAAGCTCTGGTGAGGAAACTTTAGGGCAAAGCTGTTTCAGGCAAGGTAATGCATCACTCGTCTTTGCCATGCAGTTAATTACAGAATTTATTTCTCAAGATGAATTTATTTCTTAACCTCTGGACAATAAACAGATTTCCTGGGTGCTACACTACTACATTTTATTAGCTGCCCCCAGTTGTAGATCTAAAGTGGAATATTTCAAGGGTCATGGCTTAAAATATAAATGGCATTAAAGAAACAACCCTGAATAGGAGAGCTCCCCAGTCTTTGGAAATATATAGCACATAATTATTTAATCAATTTGTCTTTTGCTTTGGGTCTTGCATCTTGTTTTCTGTTGCTGTGTGTGTGCATTCCCCTCTGTCCACACGCACCTCTGCCTATCGGGGGAAGATGACAGCCCAACTGCTCCATAATCTTAACTAGCAACCTTTCTCTTACAAGAAGACAAGTTTTGCTGCCGTGCCTGCATATAATGTGCCTGACTGGAGCTTTAGGTGTGAATGAACTATAGAACGTCAATCACAAATTCAAGTAAATGCCACTCTCAAATCCAAGCCACACTGGGGTTGCCTGACCACAGACACCTCTAGATGCATTCTGCATTTGCTCACTGACATCTACTTGAGGCAATCCGAAGGGCAAGAATTTGTATATGGAGTTTGGATCCTTCCTAGGATTGTTCCACATACAATTACTTACTGAGGCCAAAGCTTTTCCAAGGGCGTCCCCAGTCTGTGAACTTCCACCAGGATTCCCTCTATGAACTGTAAAGAAAAAGGCAACACAATACTGATGTGGTGCAGATGGTGAGAACACCAGGCAGTACTTAAGAGAGCAAAATGGGGGGGAAGAGGAAGAGAGCGATCTAGAAGGGAAACTGGGAATTACCTCTCCCCTGCTGTTCTCAAAGGGGCCTTCATTCTGGGGAAAGCACATCCTCTCAATTACAGGCAAGGTTGATTTGCAAAGATGCTAAGGGAAGGGGTTTCCTTCAAGAGTGCTGGAAAGCAAACTTTCCCAACCTACAGTCAACCGCAGAGCTCCAAAGCATCACTGAATTGGTTTATATAGAATTATATTTCTCCCGTCCCATGGAATTCCAGAACTTGGGGAAAGGAGAGGCAATAACCTCCAGTGTGCTCATCTGTTCTAACTCATTTTGAGCCAGGCCGTGGATCATTCTCTACTTTAGGGACCTAGATAAATGGACTGCCCTATCCCAGTGTTATTATGGTCAAGAATTAAAACACAAACATTTTTCCCCCCTCGGTGCTACAAATATTTGGCATTTAAAATACAATGTGTCTCTACGATAGGTCTTACTCATACTTCTCTGCAACCTTTTCAAAGGCAGCATTATCACGCTTTAAAAATGTATGTCAATGTGCCAAGGCCTTATAGCTAATTTACTGCAATCCCCAATCAATGCAAGAAACCTCAATCTAAAACATCCTGAATTTCCATGACAGAGTAACTAAAAGGACTACATGCTATGAGGAATGGACTTTCATGTCCTTTAGAGAAGTCGTAGCCCTGGCCTGGAAGGGGTAAGACCTTGAGGCATTCTCCCTCTGAGCCACCTGGCAATGCCAGAAGTAGAAACTCTGACCTCGGTGAGGACATCAACCTTGCAGTTTCTCTGTGAATCTTAGTTCTGCCTATAAAGAAGCCAAGGGCCCTTCAAACGCCCAAGTTATGCTGTAGCCTTCAGGTTAGGGAGATTAGAAGATTGGTAGTGGCATGTCCAAAATCTATGGAAAACAGAAGTAACTTTAGGTCTGAATGCCAGATCTAGCTGCAGCATTTAATCTTTATGAAAGAGAAGGTTGATTAACTTAGGCAAATTCAGCACCCCAGGTATGGGCTTCCTAATGAATGGCCACTGTGGGAGGAGAATGCTAGGCTAGATAGATGTAAGGAACCACTTCAATCCACATCTTAAGAAAGCAGAACTCTTGGAAACGATCTCTTTCAACAGGAACTTTTATTAAGAGAAATTGATAGCAGGCATGATAGACAGGATCTGAGGGATTCCCTTATAAATCGATGTTTAAAGTGTCCCTAAGCAACCCCACTCCACAGTTCTTCCAGATGATTCAGACCGGCAAATTTCTAGGTGTTAAATCCAGGAAAGAAATCTGGCTCCGTTGTGCACGATCATTCAACAGCTCCTCACACCTCATTTTGATGACAGAGAAATAAACCAGATCCCGGAGGTCTGTATCTTTTCACCCCCCTTTTCCTAGCTGCCCGGTAAGGAGGAGAAGTTCAGAGGGGCATAGGATAAGAGGCAAATTGTTACATTGTAATGGTTAGCAGACCCGAAGGCGAATAAACAAAAGGTTACTTTGTAGTGAATAGAGGAAGTGAGAGTAATAAAACCCGCATGTATATCCCCCCTCCCCTTGGGAGTATGGCAAGATCCAGGGAGGGGTAAGAATTGGTTTTAGATCATAGATAGGAAATATAACTGGATTCTGACATCCTGCCCCCCCTAAAAATAAGAGAGTTTCACCTGTAGAGAAAACAAAACAGGTATAAAAGTTAGTCTGGCTTGTTGGGATATTCTGTATGAAATTCTTTAACAGTTTTGGGGCTCTGACAATGTTTATGTAGCCACTCGTTTTGTGAGGAGGGGAGGGGTTTCCATGCTACTAGGTACTGAGTTGTCCCATGATATCTCCTAGAGTCTAGGATTTCCTTTATCTCGAAGTGTTGTTCTCCTTCCATCATGACTGGAGGTGGGGGGGGGGATTTTTGGCTATAAGGTTGATTATTGTTCTCTTTTCAGCAAACTGCAGTGAAAAATTGGGTGTATTTGCCTGAGATTTTTGGGTAATTCTAATTCTACTGTTACTGGGTTTATGATTCTTTTAATTGGAGAATGTACTATATATTTTGGTCCAAGTTTTTTACAGGGTTGTAGGGATTTTAGGTATTTTGTAGACAAATATACCATTTCTCCTACAATGAATGGCGTGGGTTCAACTCTTTTTGTATGCTTTTGTATGCTTTCTTGTGCTTTGTATGCTTGCCTAGCTTCGTCTAAGGCTTTTCTAACTATTGGCCAGGTGTTTTGTAATTGTTCCATCCATTCTTTCAGTGATGGGATTGCTGGTTCGTTTGAGATTAATTCTGGCATGGGGTTGAAACTTTGACCAGTGGCTATTTGAAAAAGGGTGTAGCCTGTGCTGGAGTGGACTACGTTATTGTAGGCAACTTCTGCGAAAGGGAGTAGGTCCGTCCAATTTGTTTGCTGGAAATTAATAAAGCATCTTACGTATTGCTGAAGTACTGAGTTTGAGTGTTCTGATTGACTGTTCTCTTGAGGATGATGACTAGATGACAGTCCATGAGTAGTTCCTAAGTGGGATAAAATTCCTTCCAAAAAGCTGACATAAATTGCACTCCCCTATCAAATATGATGCGTTGGGGTGCCCCATGCAATCTGTAAATGTGCTGCACGAAACATTTCGCTAGGTTTTTGCGGTGGAAATCTTTGGCAAGGGATAAAGTGTACTTGTTTGGAAAAGAAGTCCGTAACCGTCCAGATGACAGTGTTTCCACTGCTTTCTGGTAATTCCACTATAAAATCCATGGCTATTTCCCTCCAGGTGGCTGAGGGATTCGTCACTGGTTGTAACAGTCTGGGTGATTTCTCTTGCAATCTCTTAGCAGTTGTGCATGTTGGGCAGCTGGCCACGTAACTTTCTATGTCCTTTTTCATGGATGGCTACCAAAATTGCCTTTTAATTAAGTGAAGTTTTTACAAATCCAAAATGCCCTGCTGATTTTGTGTCATGGCAAAGCTGCATGAATGTGACCCTCTGAGTGATTGGTATATATAATTTTTCCCCCATCCAAGGCAGTCCATCCCTGACTGAACCATTCATCTGTTTCCAAAGTTTTCTGGAATTCGATTCTGGTTTGGCTATCCAGCTGCGGTTTTAATTTAGCTTGGGCTCTGGTGGTTACTGGTGCTGCCAGTTGTGGTTCCGCCATAAGTGGTTTAGAATTGGTGGCTTGTGTGCTGTTATATTGGGGCATGCGAGACAGTGCATCTGCCAAGAAGTTCTCCCCCCCTGCAAGTGCTTGAGCGTAAAGTGGAATTGGTGAAAATGCTGGGACCAGCGGGCTTGCTTGGGGTTGAGTTTCCTAGGTGTTTTCAAGGCTTCCAGGTTTTTGTGGTCTGTCCACACCTGAAAAGGGATTTTATTCCCTTCAAGGAACTCGTGCCACGTAAGTAACGGCCAACGTATCCCGTATGCCTCTTTCTCCCACATGGGCCAGCGCTGTTCCGTTTCGGTGAGTTTCCTGGATGTATATGCGCATGGTTGCAATACCCCTTCATCATTTTCTTGTAATAGTACAGCCCCCATGGCCACATCACTTGCATCTGCCTGTATTACGAAGGGCTTATCCATGTCTGGATGCCTCAGTACGGGTTTGGCAGAAAAGAGTCTCTTTAATCTCTCAAACGCCGCTTGGCATTCCATTGTCCATTTTAGTGGCTGCTAGGTTTCACTGAGGATTCTCCCTTCATTTTTAGTAAGTTCGTGAGGGGCAGGGCTATCTGGGCAAATGAGGGGATGAATTGGCGGTAAAAGTTTGCGAAGCCCAGGAAACTTTGCAGTTGCTTTCTTGTGTGGGGTGGTGCCCATTCTAATACTGCTCTGACCTTCTCTGGGTCCATTTCAATGCCCTGTGGGGATATGCGATAATCCAGGTAGTCTATTCTTTTCTGGCGGAATTTGCATTTCGGTAATTTGCTATACAGGTGGGTAGCTCACAGTTTCTTTAAAACCGCTCTGACTTAGGTTGACATGTTTCTCTTTGGAAATAATAATAATAATAAAGTTGGAAGGGACCTTGGAGGTCATCGAGTCCAACCCCCTGCTCAGACAGGAAACTCTACATCATTTTGGACAGATGGCTGTCCAGTCTCTTCTTAAAAACTTTCAATGTTGGAGCATTCACCGCTTCTGGAGGCAGGTTGTTCCATTGGTTAATTGTTCTAACTGTCAGGAAGTTTCTCCTTATTTCTAGGTTGCTTCTCTCCTTGATTAGTTTCCATCCATTGCTTCTTGTCCTGCCCTCAGGCGCTTTGGAGAATAGCTTGACTCCGTCTTCTTTGTGGCAGCCCCTGAGATATTGGAACACTGCTATCACGTCCCTCCTTCTCTTCGTTAAACTAGACATACGCAATTCCAGCAATAGTTCCTCATATGTTTTAGCCTCCAGTCCCCTAATTATCTTTGTTGCTCTTCTCTGTACTCTTTCTAGAGACTCAGCCTCTTTTTTACATCATGGTGACCAAAACTGGATGCAGTATTCCAAGTGTGGCCTTACCAAGGCACTGTAAAGTGGTATTAATACTTCACGTGATCTCGATTCTATCCCTGTTAATGCAGCCCAGCACTGAGTTGGCTTTTTTGGCAGCTACAGCACATTGCTGGCTCATATTTAAATGATTGTCCACTAGGACTCCGAGATCCCTCTCACAGTTACTACTATTGAGCAAGGTACCCCCTATACTATACCTGTACATTTGGTTTTTCTTGCCTAAATGTAGAACCTTACTTTTTTCACCACTGAATTTTATTTTGTTAGATAGCGCCCAGTGTCCAAATCTGTCCAGGTCCTCCTGTATCTTAAGCCTTTCTTCTGGAGTGTTGGCTATTCTTGCCAGCTTGGTGTCATTCGCAAATTTGATGAGTTCACCATCTATCCCCTCGTCCAAATCGTTGATGAAGATGTTGAAGAG